TTGAAGATACCACCATGTATTACAGCAGCCACTGATATTTTCCTACTAATCTATCCATAACTGTGTAAAGTTTGTAATGTTCCTATCCTATTTCATAAATGGATGTATGTTTATTATTATGTGTTTCCTACAACAACCACTGAGAATAGTTAATGATATTTCAATAGGTCACTCATGTATAGCTCTATTTCTTTTCTTTAGAAGCCACTTTGAAGATACCAAAGTATAGTACAACAACTCTTGATAATCTCCTACCTCTTTTGTCTGTAACTCACTATTATTTGTCTATTTGTTTTCCTGAGAAACTATTTTGTAGATAACAATATGTAAAACAATAACCATTGATAATTTCCTACCATTTTGTCTGTAATTTGCTAAGTCCCCCCTATTATTATGTTATCCTTCTTTTACTCTTTTTTTTTTTTCCTCCGGTACTGGGAACCGAACTCACGACCTTGCACTTGCCAGGCAGGTGCTTTTTGCCGCTGAGCTAAATCCCCAGCCCCCTTCTTTTACTCTTTAAAAAAAAAAAAAAAAAAAAAAAAAAAAACAAGTCAACCAAATGTAAAAACAGAAAGTACTCTTGAAAGTTCACAGATATAAGAATATAGACGTTGAAGCCAAACAGATCCAAGTTTGACCTTCAACTCTATCTTTACTATTTAAATGAACTTTACTATTTAATTGATCCTCAATTCTATCTTTACTATTTAAATGAACTTAAAAGTGATTTAACCTTTGTTAGGCTTACAGTGTTCACCTATAAAAAAATAGCAAATAGCAGAATGAAATGAGTTAAATACAGCAGTTAGTTTGGTCACAGTAAACAGTCACTTTATGTAGTATTGCCACAGAGGCAATACTAGAGGTAATACTAGAGGAGGCATTCAAATACCACAAGGGTTTCCTAAAAGAGCAATGTCAAGTTTGGGTCCGGAGGCCAAGGGAGGGGTCACTTGGGTATGCTACAGATGGCCGTCTGGCTTTGAAATATCCATGTCTCTAAGTAGCTCACAACTAAACAACTCTGTTGCAAACAAGCATCAGGCAATCAAGCAGCAACAGTGACACCAAGGACCCTCAATATACATTCATTTCTTTCCCAATTATAGCTACCCTCCAACAGTCCCACTCTCAGCAGAACAGGCAGTGAAGCTTTACAAGATCATTAAACATGGTTACTAAACAAACAACAAAGTAAACTGGCTCCTCACCCCACAGAATTCAGTGAATCTGGAGAATAATTGTAAACTGTTCAGTTCAGCATCTCCAGATGCTATATCTCCAGTACAGGTGGTTAATAAATGGTACCCAAAATATGATCACATAAATAGAAGAGTATTCTAAAATTCCAAAGAACGTTTGCCAGAGAAGAACACCAAACTATGTATACTGTCACTGGAGAAGATAATAATTCAAAGTCTCTGAGGCACAAGGGTATCTGAAACGAGAGCCATGATTAAAAAACTTAACAGCCACACACCTGATCCTCACGGGCTGCAAAAAGAGGAGCTGATAAGGACCACTCAGGTTACAAGCCTGACCTGTTACTGATTTAGGATTTCTATTCCACCTACTTCCCAAAAAGATCAGAGGCAGATTATCTGAAGAGTAACATACTCAATAGACTAATTTAAATAAGAATATAAGAATCAGAGGAATATAATGATGGTGAGACAGTAGCTGAAATCTGCTGCAACTAAAAATGAAACTTAGTTCTGGGCAACCAGAGTTAAGGCAAAAAGCAAACTTGCAACTATCATTAGGCAGAGGAAGAATGATGATTAATCAGGAAAGGCAAATTTACCCAGAACTAAACATGAAATTTTATAATCAGAAACTGGCCAAGCACGGTGGCACATGCCTATAATCTCAGTTACAAAAGAGGCTGAGGTAAAAAGACAGTGGGTCTGAAGCCAGCCTGGGCAACTAAGTGAAGACTGTCTCAAAAATATTTTTAAAGCTCTGGGAATGCAGCTCAGCACTCTTCCCTATTCATTCCACAGAATCCTCTCCCCCACCGCAACCACTACCACTACAAAAGAAAGCTTATCAGAAACTGACATAAGCAGCATAGGAATTTATGCTTCTTATTTTAATTCCAAAAGTCCTAACATAAGCTTTGTTGCGTTATTTTCTTCTTCACAGCTTTACCACTTACCAGCTATGTGACCCAGAGTCAGTGGTTCATCTTTCTGAATGCTAATTTCCTCATTCCTAAAAGGGAATGATGTTCTCACCCTCTGGGAAAGAGAAGTAAGGAAACAGCAACATTTGCTAGTATTAATTGGGTGTTTACTAAGCATCAAAAGCTCTGTGTATACTATCACACTGTTCTATAAATTTTTGTTTTTCAGATGAGCTCTCTGAGATTCAGAAAGGCAAAGATAGTTGTCACTGTCACACAGCTCATGGCAGAAGAGTGAAACTGAATATCGTGCTTATGTGACACCAACGCATAAATTTAATTATTTAATTAATAAATTATTTAATTATGCATAAAAAAATTTTCTGCATTCCCTGTGTATACCAAGCAACTAAAAGTTCCTGGTACAGAGTAGGTGTTCAACTTATTAGCTCCTTTTCTTGTTCCTTCCCTTTCTCCTACATTATATATGAATAGAAAATTAAGTTTACTGAAATAATATTAGCATCTTACATTTATGTGGTTTCTTTCATACTATTTAATCTATTCTTTATACTGTATTAATCTCACCAAATCTCTGCCTATCATTATGTACAATTCCACCTACTTTACAAATAAGGAACTAGAAGGCAGCAAACTAGTAGAGTGATGGTACCCAGAATCATATGGAAGTCAATGCCAAAATCTAATAAAAACCTTGGACCTCTTTACTTCTAAATCAGCCTTTATCCTCTCACATGACACAGCCTCATAATATAGAACAGATCATTCATTTTTTATCTGGAAAGCTACCAAACACATAATTCAGTAAGGGGCCTCATGACCCTACCACCTTGTCAAAGGAATGAAATTATACGAAAAATGAGGTTTGCTGCAGCAGACGGTTTTGGTCCATCAACTTTCTCTTAGATTACACTCACTAACCAAGATAAAATATTGTAAAAAAAAAATAATAATAATAATGCCCACATCTTTGGAAATTCAAGTTAAACTCATTGATCCTTCAAACTTGCACACAAAGCACCAAAGGCAACTGTTAACTCTTGTGGGGCTGCAGAGGTGCCTGTTATACCACCGATCCTTGAAAGAAAATGCATCGTACAACCGGGCTGCTCTAAGAAGAATCCAACTGAGCAAAGAACATTTAGCTGCACAAATTTATAGCATCACAGAATACTGGAATTTCAGAAGGGATCTGAGAACAGCACTTTCATGTAGTGTTCCCAAAACTCGGAGAAGCAAAGTAGTTTTTCCAAGTTTTTTCTTGTCTGTTCTACAGAGAAGAACGCAAGAACTAGAAAATAAACCCAGTGACAAATTTGTAGACTTTGGTTCTGATGTCCATGAGTACACCTACCACTTCCCAGAATTATTCATCTATACAGAAAGTAATAGAACAACTCTGGATTCGAATCCTGACTGCTACTTAATCACCATGTGATCTTGGGCAACCCTTAATTTCTCTGAACTTCAGTTTTTTGGTCTATCAACTGTGAGTCACAGTAACTTCCACAAGTAAGCAGTAAGCTGGCAGTAACCAAACGAAGGAAGTGGCACACAGCCTAAGCTCCACAAAGGCACATATCAGGTCTGTAACTCCCCAGCAGAGCCTGATAGCACATATTCTCCAAAGACTCACTGAGCAAATCAATAAACTTAAGAAGCAAATAATTACTAGACTTGCGCTCAGGTCTATATAAATTTTAAACACCCAGGTTTGTTCCAATGTACATGATTTCAAAGCATGGTGTTAATTCAGCCTTACAGAGTACTAAGGACACGAGCAAACATTAAGACAGGAAAAAGTTCAGCTCAGAAAGTTTGTGGTCTCTCAGTGTTGGGATTAATTCTTCTTGCTATAATGAGGCTTTGGAATCCACTAAACCTGGGTTCCAGCTTCAGTATAAGCTGTATGGGATCAGAGACACTACTTTACCTCTCAGAACCTAGATTCCTATAATTGGAAAGATTCTTCTCCCTGTGTCTACTCTGTCTTCTACATTCCATATGTTAATAGTAGCCGAGAAAAGTTCACCATCCAATTAATCCTTTGCTCCAATCCAATAGCTTCCTATTACAATGAGAACAAAGCCCAAACTCCTTACCATGGACTATTAAGCTGACACCATCAGCTCTCCTGACCAATCCAAACCTGTCTCTACAACTAAGTTCCAGACACACTGGCTTATTTAAATATGCCAAAATTTTTCCTCTTTTAATTTAAAAATGAATGCACATTTTCAGTCATTTAAAATTTTAAATGCTATTTACTTATATGACAAATCATGTTCTGTTCCCATGCCTAAAATTCTTCAACTAGCAAAGAATACTCTTCAAGAAATAGGGGTTAGGGATTACAAATGTCAAGGTGTTTTTCTGATTTGGGGCCTTTGTGCTTCTGTTCACTCTGCCTGGAATGTTCTTCCTCTGGGCTGCTGATGCTCTTCCAAGATGATTTAGGTCTCCACAGAAATGTTACCTCCTTAAAGAGTCCTTCAAAGCTAAACTGCCTTTGTCAAAATCACCCTCATCAAATCACTCTCTATTGTATGCCACTATTGTCTTTCATCATACCATTTCGTTACCTACTTATTTATTCTAACTTCTCAACCAGAATGTAAGCTACATGAGGACAAGGCATTTCTCAAGCTTACTGCTACATACCCAGCATCCAGCACATAACAGACATACAATAAATATTTCTCAATCAGTAAACTTGATTTCAAAAGATGTTTGTTAGGATAAAAGACACAGGTAAGACATACTACTGGCCTGATACTATAGTGAGGCATTGGTTTCCTTCCAAAGACCATCACCCCATTTCATGAAATATGTGAACCTCAGCCAAACTTACTTAGGAATGGGTACCCGAATCAGCGTCCCTTCCATTTCTGGGTTCAGATTCATTCCACTTTCTCTTATAGCCTTGATAGCTGCAGCTGTACACTGAAAACCAGATCAAAAGGTAAACAGAATTAGTAAATAATTATTACCAGATGCAAGCACTCTGTCGATAACTGGCAACCCATCTTGGCAGAACATGGAAACATTTAGTTCTGTTACCAGTAAGATCAGGAAGTTACATTGGTGTAGAGTGCTTTGATCAAGCTGAATAGCAAACTATGTCCACTCCTGGTACCAGTGTACTGCGGAAGGAAAAAAAGAAAAAGAAAAAATAAAAAGAAAACAGCTCTGCTTCTTTGAAAAGATTTCAATGGTTTGAGGCAACACAGATCAAAACCATAATAAATCCTCAAGGGAGGAGGGCTGGTCTCTGCAAAGATTAGTGTAAAGACAGATGAAAGATTTCATACGTTAAAAATTCCAATTGACATTTTACACTCAGAATATACCAGTGCTGATTGGAATGAGTAAATAAATTTAACTCGTTCACATCTACACTCACACCAAACTCACTCACAGTGTACAAAAAATTTCCGTGGGCTCTAGAAAAGGGAGTATGGTGCAGCAGTTGAAAGCATGGGCTGTGGAGTCAGAATGAGCTGAATTCAACCCCAGTTCTGATGACCACGTAGCTCTGAGCAACAAGGCTCTGAGCCACCCTTTCACAATCTTTGAAGACATGGCACCTAAACCTCTGACACATAGTGAGATAAGATGAGCAATATGTCTTGCTCTGTGCCCGGTACACAATAACACCAGTCAGGGCATAAATTACACACATTTATTAAAAACGCATAAAACCTCCCCAAAGGGCTGAGCTGATATCATTTAGCTGATGCACTGCTGTCCTACCCAACATCCTTTAGGGCTTCTCCGACAGATGTGCTCACTAATGTGACAGCTGGCACACTGGTATGCCAAAATGCCTTGCCTCATCCTTGATGAATACTACAACTACACCTGGTATGCAACCAGAAAGGAACAAAAGAAAGCAGCCAGGGAGAGAGTTAATTCCAATGGCACAACAATGTGGAACTCATGAAAACAAGGCCTTTATCATTTTCAAAAGAATTTTAGGTTTGATCAGAGTCAGTCAACATCACTTGAACATAGGCCAATTCCTGGCCTCTAGTCCCTCCTAGACTTTATTGTTTAAATGAATAAGGATTGATACATATCTATTCTACTTTTTCAGGTATTTGTTACTTCTGTATGGGAGCAGATACCTAAATAGTTTATCCATTTCATTTTTGAAAGACTTTAATTCTACACCTTGATCAGATATTACTGTAAGGTCAAGAAATAAACTAGAACCTCTACACAGAGATGAGTAATTCCCTGGTGAGGCTATGCACAGAATCTGTGGTCAGTGCATGAAATAGTTTTTTACTGGTTTTTTTTTGGGGGGAGGGGTAGTGCTTGGATTATAGGTGAGCACCACCACACCTGGTAGTACATAAAATAGTAAATTCCTAAAAGAGGACCTCTGACCACAAATTCTCAGAGCTGTAAAGTACCAGCACGATCAAGCACAGCCCATTCACTGTGTATACAGGGACCTGTAGGGTAAGGTCAAATCCCTAAGCATAGACATGGTCTTCCCTAAGGGACAAGAAAGATGAGGTGAGGACCAAACTGATCACACTTCCAGTTACTGGAAGAAGAGACTGAATGGTAACTTCGTCTAACAATATTACTTTATTTTTTACAGATGCCCAAGCTGAATATGTTCAATGATTAGGAACTAAAAAGTTTATTTTTTTTTCAACTAGTTCAAAAATAACCAGGAATTAGCAATTAAAGTTAGCAGGAAAATGAAATTAATTTTCCTCTGCAAGAGAACCACATTCCTTAATAAAAATAAGCACTGGTTTCTAAAGTTAACTATAAAAGGATAATCTCCAATTTGAAGGGGTACCCTGATCTCAAATCTCCAAATCCTCTTCTGTAGCTTCTCACTGAAGAGCTGATAACCCACTATCAATACCACCTCCTGTTTACCCATCTGGCCCAGGTAGTTTCATACAGCTTTGCACTGTGGGAACAAGAGTACTGGGCTTACCAGACTACTGAGCTGGGCAAGAACTATGGCTCAGTATTTATACTTTTACAGTACAGGGCACAATGACAGGTACATGGTAAGTGCTCAGCAGAAGCTTAATGACTTGCTTTAATCTATGAGAAAAACTCACCTTACTTTATTTCATGTATATAACCCCTCAAAACCTTATTTTATACTTCAACTTTTCCATGTTTTGTCATAGGTAGAAAAAACGTTAACCAACCATGGTTTCATTTTGCAAAGACGTCTACTGAAAGAAGCAGTTCGTCTAATATATTCTAGATACGTGTATTTTGGTTTGACATGGTAGGCTGCTAAACTTCAGGGAATTCAAGAACCATTTTCCTAACATGATGCCTGAACTACTCCTGTTTCAAACAAACAAAAAAGGCAGATGTCCACATAGAATTTCCACCTCTCAGCTTAGTCTTTATCCCCTTACTGCAGAAGGGTACTCACCAGAATCCCAGGGAAAACTCATTATTGTCAAGTGGCAACACTGACCACCTGGTTATGACTTCTTAGAGTACTATGTTCAGAAAGATCACTGACCCTATCCGAAGGTCAAATGATGACAAAACTTTGGTAAGCTAGTGAACTAGTCCTTGACAACCTGGGTTCAAGTTATCTTAGTCATTTTCTCATCACTGAGACACAGAACCTGACTCTCCCAACATAAGAGAGGAGAGATTTTTTTTTGGTTCACAGATCTTATAAGTTTCAGTCCACAGCTGGCTGGCTCCAAGCCAGGAAAGCATGGCAGAGGGGCACAGCAAAGGAAGAGCTGCTCATCTCATGGCAGCCAGGAAGCAGAGAGAAAAGGGAAGAGCTAGAACAGACAGACAAACAGAACAAAAATAAATATCCCACAAGGTCACAACCCCACTGAACCATTTCTCTGGACCAGCCCCAACCTCCTAACATCACGTTTAGCTATAGTGACCCCAGGTCCAATCCTTTCCAAAAGCCCTATCACAGAGTACATAAGCCTCTTGGAGGACATCTAGATATAAACCATAACTTGTCAACTCTGTCAGTGCCATGTTAATTACTGGCCTTTCATTTTTTTCATACCCCAATGAATTTCTAAAATATAAGGTCTATGAAAACAGAGAGCTAGTCTATCGTACTTATCAGTCAACTCCCAGAACCTCAAGTAGAACCTAATCACTTGTTCAGAAAATATATGTTGAATTAATGAATGAACAGTGCAAGGAAAATAGGTTTTTGTGTCAAAAAGCTATGATCAAACTGGTTCTATCACAACAGTGAATCTAGAGATATTTTACTTCTGAGCCTCTATTTCCTTACCTATAAAATAGGACAATAATGCTATTTTTGCTGTTGATCCTGTGAAACAAAGTACACTCCATACATTTTAGTTCTTTTCCTTCTGCAAGAATAATGGAACCTGTGGAATTTTTTCTTTTATTTGCCATGTTTTGTTCAAATGATACTACAGTTTTTGTTTCCTTTTTTCCTTTTCCATAATTAACTCTGTCTTTAGGCAAGAAGCAGCAACTGTGTATATCATTTATCAAGCAGGACACGTGTTAAACAAATGCAACACAGTTTTCTGTCTTCAATGCATTCAAAAAGATTAGGCATGTAAATCTGTATCATGTCACTACGGCATGACACAGAAATGCTCACATTTGGAAAGAAAGCCAACTGCATGTGAAACAGAAAGGGATTATATAAACACAGTGGATTAGCTCAGCATTTTGAAGCTATGAAACTGGGTACTCTACAGACAGCTTCTAAGCTGGAGGAAGGAAATGTTTAGTTAAAGCTATTTGTTTAATATATATACCAGATGAGATAAAGGAATTCAAAAGACAATGTATCTCGCACTTCCTCACTCTGTCCCTGTAAATGAACCTCTCTATTGGGGTGCTTGTTAGGCTTTTTACAAAACCTAGGATATTTCAACTTGGAGAGATGGTAAAAATGTTTTGGTTGAAAGATGATGGTACATTCCAACTTCCTAAGAAAAAACTAAGCTGTTAATGCCTCCTCCTGCCTCCTAAGATGCTCCAGTGGCCAATGAGATGCTTTCTCTGTGAATGCCTTTTGCTATTTAATAACAGAAGTGGCTGGCTCTGAAAAGCAATCTGCCTGATGAGGTCTTCAAGCTGTGTAATTAGAAGGCTATTCCCTAAATTGGCCCACAGTGCCGATGGGATTAGATGAACAAGGCAGAGAGAGAGGCCTCAGTAGTTTAGAGAGAGCCAGTAAGGGAAAGTTGACAGCTTCCTTTTCGTCCAGTTCTGTGCACCTCAGTCACGCCAGGAATGAGTGCCACCCTTCCATCAACCTAACAACAAGTATTCATCTCCCTCAATTTACTGAGTGCATCCTTGTGCCAGGAACTTTGGTACTGGATGCAATGAACAAGTTAGATATGATTTCTATATTTCAAAATATAATCTAGTAAAAATGAGATGGAAATAACCATGTAAATATATCTACACCTATTAAGAGTGGTAAGTGCAATGAAAAAAATTGTGCTGCATGTGACAGATATTTAGATTTGGCAAATTAGGGAAGGCTTCCTGGAGAAAATGACACTTATGATGTTATCCAACGTAAGAGTACCAGTTAGCCAAAAGTGTTCCAAGCAACAGGAACAATATATGGAAAGTCCCTGAAGGTACAAAGGACTTGGTGTATCTGAAGAACTGAAATACTGGTGTGAGTAGAGCAATTTGCAAGGATGACAGCAGCACAAGACTAGAAAGAACAGAGAGGGAAAGGCCAGACCATGCAAAGTCTTCTGGACTATATTAATGATTCTGGACTTTTAATTTCTTAAAGATCAATTAAATCAAGTGGTAGATTTTAAAAAGCTGGGAGTGATATAATCCAATCTATACAGTATGTTTAAAAGCTCATTCTGGCTGCAAATGGAGAAGGGAGCAAGAACAGTAGCCCCACAAGTGTGCCTGACACATTACTTACAAGAGCTCTCTGATTTGAAACAGTATGTCCTGAGTAAGAGCTCTTCCTTTCTACAATTCCTAATCTATTCTGTTGAATACAGCATATTCAACTTTGGTCTACCTCTTCAGGACAGAACTACTGAAACAGGCCATCAGAACAGGAAGTTTTTTAAATTTCATGTTAGCAGATGTGAAATTGGAGGCCTCCTGAATGAAGCCAATTGCCCAAGATCAAACAGCCAGTTAGAAGTAGAGATGGGACAAGTTCCCAGTTCCTTTAGTACTCTCAATCCAGGCCAATTCCTAGTAGATCCACAAGAAGCCCAATTATTTCCCACAACTAGACTTAAAATCATATACCTTCAAGGCTGCAGTGATGCAATGCAACCCATCTTCTAGTTTTCCAGTGTGCTCCGTGCAACAGTCTGCAAAGGTCAGTTTAGTATAAAAGGAATGTTATTCCTGAAGGGTCTGCTCCAAATACTAATGCAGAGGTCACAAACTGATGCCCCTCAGGTTATTTCTGGCTGATTAATTTGTTTTATTTGCCACAAAGTTTAAAAAAAAAATCAATTAGTCATCAATATTTAGTGAACAGTTTCTTATAAAAGTAAAATCGTAATAGCTATTAACGAAGATTACAAGGCCTACAATTATGCTTAGCAATGATGATGCTGAGCAGGAACTAAGCAGAGGTGCTCCGTTTAGACTGAGTACCAGCTCTCCAGTTTACCAGAGTCCCCCTCATTGGCCAAGCATCAATCACTGTATCTCCATTATTGCTTTTCTTACATGGAATCCACTTCAGAATTTAAATTGCTTGCTTGGTCTTTATCACACTTGAGTTTAACAGAAAAGAATTCAAAGAGGAAGGGAGCTTTCGCTATCCTTGAGTTCCCTTAGTAAGTCTGTTTCATCACAAGCTGAAGACATCACTTCCTCCTGACTTGACTTAATCTCCATTCCAAAAGAGATGGTAGAGAGGGACTCTCTCAGCAAGGTCACCTTACCTCTGGGAAGCTGGCCATATTCACCAAAATCAACTGTGGCGACTTCATGGTGATCTGGCTAATCTGGTTTAAAGCAAGCTTCCCATCAGCGGTTACCACAGTAATACGATCGAAGGTTCCTAAAAGAAAAATTACATGGTTTTAGAATTCCAAATGACTTTAGAAGTTCTACATCTAAATCCCTATCTAATTCAGAGTCTACAAATACTCAGGGATCCTATGTGATAAGACTGTTTAAGGAGCTTTAATGGGAATAGCAGTGTCATGTGATGGAAAGAGCGTGAAATGTGAACAACTAGGTCGGAACTCCTTACTAAGGAACTAGGCAGCTATTCTGGCTTGCCTTGTGACACAGAACTTTGAGAAATAAAATTTATCACCCTAACAGTAACTCAACCATTTACTAACTATAAAACCTTTCATAGGTTACTTATTTTCTCTGGGCCTTGGTTCCCAACTCAGTTAAAAAATATCTTCTAGAATTAAAGTGGGGGCTAAAGGACTATAGCTAAATATAAACCAAGTAAAAAACAAAGACCAAAATCTAAGCACAAACAAGTTTTCCATTATTCCTTTTAGTTCTGAAGAATATCTATTCTACAACACTATATTACTTCCTGTACATTACAGATGAGAACATGAGACTTGAGAAAGATAAATAAGGCAAGATCATACAAATAACAAAAGGAAAAAAAAAAAAATCAAAGGCCAAACTGAGCTGTGCTCAACTGTGACATCAGTATAAAGGTTCTTCACCTTATACAAGTAGAACTCAAAGCTAGCTGTACATCAGAATCACTAGGGAGCCTTTTAATTTAGATTCCTAGACACTGCCCCCAACCCCACCCCCATCCCACAAAGACTTTGATTCTGTGGAGAAGTGAGAGCCTGTGATTTTGTGGGATCCTGTGATTTTTTTTTTTTAAGTTCACCACATGACTCTGACATTCCCTCATACCACCCTTCATTTTGGTGCCTATATCCCCTTTAGAAATTAGCTCACTTAAAAAAATAAACAAACAAACAAAACATTATTAATACTTCACTGTTATCATATCTTCATCTGAATTCTGGAAAACCCTGAGCAAAAATTTCCAGAAATCCAAGAAGGCAAGAAACAAAGCCACAGGTACAGATGGGACATTATTCAAACTCCCTGATTTCCTATGCAAATGAGAACTAGAAGAAAATCCTTACCATTCACAGTAGGAGCCACTCATGGATGGCTTACTCTGAGACACAAAGAGAAAGGAGGGAGGACAGAATGAGTCTTTTAAACAAACTGGAATTGTTCCAGCAATATGTTATTAGAATAATACAGTATCATACTGTATTAGCCGAAGATCTGATTTGAAGTATTCAATCAGATTCAATGTCATAAGCAAGTTGCTGACACCACTGACCAACCTGGGAAAGTCCAGGAGGTCTAATAGTAAAAGTTGCCAGAATTCTGAAGACCAAAGACCTGAGTTCAAATACCAATTCTGTCACTTCCAGATTATGAGATCCTGGGCAGGTCCCTTCAACTTTCTGGGGCTGCTTCCTGATCTCTAAATGAGACGGAAAAATTATAGAGGATTTTCAGGAGGATTAAGTGAAAGGCAATATGGAATGCATTGGTACTGTGCCCCAATAATGTTAACTATTATAGCTTCTTGACATTCTTCTATGTCTTAATCAAAATTATTTACAATTTCTCTCTGAGCATGATGGCACACACCTGCAATACCAGCACTCAGGAGGCTGAGGCACGAGGATCACCATGAGTTTTAGATCAGCCTGGCCTACACAGTTAGTTCAAAGTCAGCCTGAGCTACATAGCAAGACCCTGTCTCAAAAACCAAAAAAAAAAATCCCCAATGATTTTTCTAATATACTGTTGCCTCAGGAGTTTTCCTTAAAATTTTCCTTTTACTGAGGATACTCTTTTCTGCTCAGATAACTCCTGTTTAACATTCAACAACAGTAGCATCTTATCTCAGAAATCTTGTCTGACCTCAGATGGATTAACAACTCCCCTTAGAAGTCCCCAACACCCTATGTATATTTATATAAATAATGATAACCTAAGTTTAATATCTAAATTCTCTCACTATCACAATAACCCTATGATAGAGTTATTATTACTTCTACCATTCTACACATGAGGAAACTTTAGGCATAGGGTGTAACCTGCCCAAGCTCACAACATCTCTTAATAATGGAGTCTGGGCCAGGTATGGTGGTGCACACCTGTAATCCTAGCACTGAGAAGGCTGAGGCAAGAGGATCACTGCAAATTCAAGGCCAGCACAAGCTACATAGTGAGTTCAAGGCAGCCTGAATTGTACAGTGAAAAAACAAAACAAAATAATGGAGCATGGGCGCTCATAGGAAAATAGATTCACCTTGAGATTATAATATTAAGGAAATAAATTAGACACAAGAGCTCTTATATGAGAAGCCCAAAATATAAATAAAGAGCAAAACGAAGGATAGATAATACAAAGTAGGGAGATCTTTTTCAAATGAGAAGGGGAATAAGAGACAGAGGGAAGGGAAAGTATGAGGATGTAAAGGGGATGAAAAAACAAAGAACTGAAAGAAAAAAATGGAAATAGAGCTTTTGCAAATGATAAAGGGACCTAGAGACAAAAGGGGCAGGGAAGAGTGGGAGGGGTAGGGGACAAAAAAAGAATTAAGCTGTGTTATGTACATGTACCAACTCCCTATGATAAATATAATCATTATGTAGTGCAAACAAATACTAATAAAAAGAGCCCACCCCCCAAAAAACCATGTAATAATAGTTATCAGCAAAATAATAATGGAGCCTGAATTCAAACCCATATCTGACCATTTCCAAAGTCACAATTTTCACATCACTCCATTTTGCCATACTGTTTTACACATGTTGTTTGATTTGTTTGACCCTCTATAGGTTCTAGGCTCCTGGAATGCAAAACAATGTCTTTTCTTTCTACATCCACAGCACCTATTTAAGTAATCAGCTCACGTTAAGTATGAATGGAAGGATGGATGGATGGATGGACAGATGGAAAGAAGACAAGAATGAACAGACAATATAAATCTGTAACAGCTATTACAAGGTGTTAACTAGGGCTGGGGATGTAGCTCAGTGATAAAGCGCTTGCCTAGCATGGGGGTGAGGAGTGAAGACAGAAGTGTAAGATGGAAAATGTCTGCTGCTTCAGATAGTAATAAAAAAAGATATAGAAGAATCTGGCAAAAAAGGACTTGATAAGTTTAGCCTATTTCACCCAATCCTTTCACAGTTCCACGTTCTACACAGAATGTTACACAAATATAACCCTAAAGAAAAAGCAAAGAGGAAATACCAATGGGAGGCCTTTTGAAAATGGATCTTAATTCAGCTTTCCTGATTTGCCATAAGATCCTTCGCCACAGAAGTCCCAATATGGGCATTTAGGTATGCAATTGTGGTGGTTCCCATTCCCTAAATCTGTATTGACATAATGCATCAAATCCTTTTCCCTCAATCTGTCCCTAGCGAGAATCTCCCTCAGCTTCATTCTTGCCCCTCATTTTCTCAGAGGTTAGCATTTAACAAATTACACTCCCAACCTCTTTCTAGGCCCATCATCTTTTTAAGTTCAACAAGAGCGGAGCTTGCTGGCTAATTTTAAGTATCACATTTCTCCCTGAGCTCCTCTCAAACTGCTCTCTGGTTTCGGCTGCAGAATGTTAACAGGCCAGAAAGCACAGGGGAGACAGAACACTTTATCAGTTTCATACTTAAAATAATAAGCAAGTTTAAAATAAACAGTTGGGAGAGATTGAATGGCACGCTCTACTGTCAGCAAAGGCAGAAGTGCCCCAGCCCAGAGGTTGACAAATGAAGGGAATGGTCTTCTAGTTTCACACTGGATCTCATCTCTGAATTCAGTATGTTTCTGACAGTGTTTATAAGGGGAGCCATACATTTTTCATAAGGCTTTCTTAAAATCTAGTTCATGAAATATTTTTTAGTTTCCTTAAGAACTTCCCCAATCAAGATGTGAGTGGGAGCAGCCCCAACTCCCACAGATACTTCAGAGGGGGTCCCAGGCAGGCTTAACTATAGGATGATGACAATTTGCAAAAGGCCAATTTAACAGCAATTGGATTTTTCCTGCCTGCTTGCACCATTAGCTGACAACTCACTTCTCCATCACATCTGCAAACAGTTCTCCTAGACAGTTCTGACATTTCCCACTTAGAAAAGCCACTTTCAGGAAGCTATTAACCCAAACGGCATCTTCCTGGTCAAGCTCTGGGGTATAGGAAGGCCTCAGGTGGGCAGGTTTGCAGCTATTTGGTTCCCAGTAAGGGGTAAAAACTGCCAAATTGGACAAATTGGAAATATCAGACCAAAGATGTCAGTACTTTGAGCCTAAACACCTAGATATGTTTATAATATAGTCATAATACACTCCTATTTTTTGAGAGTACAATTCAACTACAGTAATGACAACTATTTTTACTACTGTGCACCTACACGATGCTTAGTTCACAGCCAACAAATATGGAAACTGAGGACCCAAAATAATTGCCCACGGTCACCAATCAAATCAGTGCCAAAGTGAGAACTAAAACTCAGCTCTGTCAAAGCCACACTCTTTCTACTAGACCTTTCTCAAAACATTGGTAACTAACCTGGTGAAGTCCTTATGTTGAGAGTCTTATTGAAATTATCCTTGAGTACTTCTATCACAGACTTCATTTCTTCATTCACCTCTTCCAAGCTGATTATATCTTCAACCAAAGCTGTGTTAATGTTCACTCTGGTTTGGGACTGTCCTTTCCCTTTGGCTAGAAAGTAAACATTCAGTGAATAGAAGAACAGCAGCATACACAGAGACAATAAGCAATTGGTGAAGTGCCTACTGTGTGCAAGGAAAAATGTGAAGTGCTGGAAAATGATAAAACATTATCGCTGACCTGAAAAGGAGCCTACATTTACTGAGTGTCAACTAGGTTCCCAGCTTTGTGCTACATACTTTCTCAGACATTAGGGTACAGACTTAATAATCAGCTATTCCAGGTTAAAATTATGGCTATAATGCATACTAGATTTATGACCTTCAGCAAGTTATTCTATCTTTCTCAGTATCAAGTTCCCTATTATAAAAGAGAAGTAATAATGCCTATATTGGGAAGTTGCTACAAGAATACAAATTAAGTCACTGAAACAACAGAAAGTACTATCTATATGGTAGGGAATCTGATAAACTGAGCAAATAAAAAAGTAAGTAAAGCACATGCCTATAATTCCAGCATTCTTGAGAGGCTGAAGCAAGAGGATGGAAAGTTTGAGCCCAGCCTGGGGTATGGAACAACTTAGCAAGACCATGCCTCAGAATAAAAACTGAAAAATAAAGGCTGGAGATGTAGGTCTGTGTAAAAACCCTAGGTTCAATACTAAAAAAGATAAAGTAAACACATAGAAAATTTGCCCATATAATTAGTCAGCTTGATCTAATGAACATATGTAGAATCATGTAACCAAGATTAAGAGAACACACAAGCATGCTTCAGGCTTTACATGAGATAACCATTTCTTTTAATCCCACAAAGCAAATCTCAACAAATATCAAGGAAACTAATCATATAGCATATGTTCTCTGATCAAAGTGGGGTTACATTTATCCCCAAATAACCATATGTTTGAAAATTTTTAAACATTTCTAAATAATAAATATTCATGAAGTGAAAAGAAATACATAAAAATTTTAAACAGTCTAGGTAATAAACACTCATGAACTGTAGAGAAATCCATAACGAAAATTTGGAAGTATTTAGAAATGACCCTAATAAAAATACTTTCTATCAAAAATGTTTAGGAAACACTCCCAAGTTGTATTTAAGCAGAAATGCATCGTCTTAAGTTCTTGTAAGAAAAGAACAAAGCATTACTCATAACAACTAAGATATGGAAAGTAACCAAAGTTCCTGTCAAGGGAAAAATGAATAAAGACTATCTCTCCCTCTCTCTATATATATATATGTATATATTTTTTGAGTATGGTGGGTTATCTTTTGGATGGTGGCAACTGTATGGAGCATGAAGAAAGCTTCTGGAGAATAAATGACATTCTATTTCTTAATCTGCATGATGGTTACATGGTTATGCTCACTTAATGAAAAATGGTTATCTCATGTAAAGCCTGAAGCATGCTTGTGTGTTCTCTTAATCTTGGTTACATGATTCTACATATGTTCATTAGATCAAGCTGACTAATTATATGGGCAAATTTTCTATATGTTTACTTTATCTTTTTTAGTATTGAACCTAGGGTTTTTACACAGACCTACATCTCCAGCCTTTATTTTTCAGTTTTTATTCTGAGGCATGGTCTTGCTAAGTTGTTCCATACCCCAGGCTGGGCTCAAACTTTCCATATACTTACAATTTAGGTAGGTACTCGCCTGTACCGATAACTCAAATAATTTTAGTGTACCTTATGTAACAATAACAAAAATAATACGATACCCCAGAAATAAACCTGATGAAAGAACTGTACAAGTATTTCTGGAGAAAACTTGACAATACAAGAATAAATTTCACCAGAAGAGCAAAAAGAAGAAAAACTATATGTGTGATAGGGAAGGCGACATTATCAGATTCAAGACCTTATGACAGTGATACAGGCAGTGAGGAATTCAGTGTGGCAGGATGAGCAGTTCAATAAAAATAAGAGCTCAGAAACGAGACACATAACCTGACACATAGCAGAAAGGTCATTACACAGCTGGAATAAATAATGAGCTGCATACAAGTATGTCCAAACTTTTGGGTCTTGCTGGGCACATTGAATGAAGAAAAACTGTTTTGGTTACATATAAAATATATAATACAGTTAATGTATGTAAGTAATAAAACATTTTTAAAATATCTGTTATTATAACATTAAAAAAAAGAGGTCAAGCATGTTTAGGCCACAGATTCAACACCACCTGGACAACAAATGACAGTGGCACAACTTATGAACTTTACGGAAAAAGAAACCCATAATTAGATTTCTCAATTCACACCGTATTCAGAAATAAATTCTTGGAACTGGGGATTTAGCTCAGTGGCGTAGCGCCTGCCTGGCAAGTGTGAGGTTGTGAGTTTGATTCCTGGTACCGGAAAAAAACAAAAAAAAAACCAAAAAAACAGAAACAAATTCTCTTGGAACAAAAAGAATTTCTTTTTGTTTTTGTTTTTTTGAGACAGGGTCTCGCTATGTAGTTTAGGCTGGCCTTAAACTCACTATGTGGTCCAGGCTGGCCTCGAACTTGCAGTGATCCTCCTGCCTCAGCCTCCTGAGTGCTGGAATTATAGGTATGGACGACCATATGTGACTTGGGACAAGAAGAATTTCTTGTAGAAGACAAAAAACACAAATGATAAAGGAAAGGAATGACATTAAAACTTATTTTTACATGAACAAAGTAAAAAGCAAACAAGATACATGTAACACAATTGACAAAGGATTAGTATTCCTAATATAAAGGCACCAATAAATCTTTTCAAAAGTCAAATAACATGTAAGGCTGAGACAGGAAGATCACTGCATGTCTGAGGCCAGCCTGGGCCATACTGTGAGTCCAAGGTCAGCCTGAACTACAGCAAGACCCTGTCTCAAAAAAATGTCAAACAATCAACTCTTTACAGAGGCAATCAAAGATGACAATACTGAACAGCCCACAGTACATGAGAAACTTCTACTTATAGGCCAAGTGGTGTCTAGTGTCCAGAAGACTGCAATGTGTAAGACACCAGCAGGCCCAGGTTTCTGGTTCTTCCACTAACACAATTATGAGCAAACTTTTTTTACAAGTGTCGATGTACCTAAGTTTCCTCATTTATAAAATGCAAAATCTGGTTTCATTAGATAATTATAAGGATTTTTTCCATTGGAAAATTAAATTTCTTCAATGGATAATGATGCAGAACAAACTAGTAAATGTTGAGAATTTTAAAACATATAATACAACATACATATTAAAAGTTATTACTATTACCACTCTTCACAGAATATAAGTTTTATAAGCATTAATACTCTTTCAGCAACTTGTAAATTTTCCTAGTAACAAAAAGGAGCTTGAAACTAGAAAAGTCAAGTTAGTGGGAAAATATTTAGCAGCATATTTCTAGCACTAGTCTTAAGAATGGATTACCCGACCCACCACTACAAGTAAGTGGGCTATGTAATAATTTTGTGTCACTTCTTTATTCATTCAACAAAACACTGAATGCGTACTATGTGTCAGGCCCTTTTAGGTACAAAATAACAAAGAAACAGATGCTTTTTTCATTGGGTCCAACATGGAAGCCAGGTAACAAACAATAATCTTATGATTGATTAATTAATTAATTACTGCTGTTCTAAGTACATCAAAGGTAAAACAACAATGTGCATGAGTGCATGTAACAGGGGACCTGACCTAGTCTAAGAGGTCAAGGAAGGCTTCCCTGAGGAAGTGGTATTTAAGCTGAGACCTGTAGTACGTCAAAATCTCATTCTTGGATGACACAAGCCATTAAGATCATCCATCTAAATCCATGGCTCTAATACGTCTTTACCCAAAAACCTTCTGGTTTTAATTATACATTCAACATGCATCTTCCTATAAGGAGAGAATATGTTGATCCCTGCCACGAGCATTCTGGTTTGCTTGGTACTTGTGCTTACAATTCTAAATCTAAAAGAAATAAACTAGGCATTTTCTAAACCACCAAGAAAATATATGAGCTGGAATGGTAATAAGAAAATAGGCTTTGGGTTCTAATGCAGTGCGTCACTGTGACTTTTTAAGCTAATCAACTAAACTGAGCGAGGCATCATTTCATCATGTGAACAAGGGGAGAATTCAGTACATCTCTCTCTACTTTTCTATTTTTATTTTTTGTTTTTGTTTTTTGAGACAGGAGTCTCACTGTGTAGCTCAGACTGGCCTCAAATTCAGTTATCCTCCTACTTTAACCTCCCAAGTGCTGGGATTACAGGTGTGTACCACCACACCCAGCAGAAATTCAGTACATCTCTGAGATTCTTAACAGTTATGCTAAATCAAGGGCCAACTATAAGGGGTAAAGAAGGGAAGAAGGTCATTAAGTCTCTACCTTTGGCTTTCTTGGTCGCAAAACAGCGAACTGGTACAGCTTGACAAGCCATGTGTTGGCTATGGTCAGGCTGTCTTCCACTCGCTGTCTTCAGTGCAATTCTTGAAACAGGTCTAATCAAGACTCCAAGATAATTACAAGAGGCAGGGTGGATCAAGCGGAAGCATTTTAATCCCAGGGCCATGACTAAAGACAATCCTTGGGAATAGCCTCTGAAAAGAATAAAACAAAAAGGAGATGTAAGTGAAGAGAGACACCACCGCAACTTCAGAAAACAATGTGTATTAATTATCAAGCAACTCCTATAAACAGAGCTAAGTACTAGGCGATTTAAATATCTCTAATCCTCCTTCCAACAGTTATAGAAGGAAACATTAGCCTTATTTTATGGGATTAAGAAACTGAGGCTCACATCCAGTCTGTAGGGCTCTGAACCCCACGTTCTTTCCACTACAGCAAAATGCCTGTTAAGCAAATGTGCACCCTCTAAATCTTCAATGACACTAATTTAACCCCCATATAAGGAAAAGCACAGTATCTTTCAGGTTTAAAAAGGAAAGCAGAGCACAAGGGGACTTTAAACAAGAAAACCATTTCAACAGGCAGAAAATGACTGGAAAATTTACACAACAGCATTTAATTAAAATTTTCTTTGGTTCCTTATGCACTGGTTACCAATTAGAATGCACTTTAATGTGAGAGTGAAGCACGATTGAGGTTTGAGGTCTTCCACGGTACACAACTAAAGCTCTGGAAAATGCTACCCTCCACTAGGTTAATACAAGTTACATGTCATACTTCTGAGGTCTTTAACCATGCAAAGATGCTACAGCCTACAACTACCTTAGACAGAACACAGTCCTAGCTGACAAATGTAATACTAACAGCTTCTGACAGGAATCTGGCTATCATTCTGCTGAAAATTAAGAACAATTATCATTAAATACCTGGAAGTCGCTATCTTTGAAAATCAGTCCCACACTTCATTTAAAAAAAAAAAAAACTGCCCCCTAAAATTTTGAAGCAGTCTGATAAAGGGAATAAAAGTACAGATCCTGCAGCCAAAGAGACCCAGAACCCAAGCCCAGCTCCACAACTGACTAAACACTCTTGAGTATCTCTGTACCTTGACATCCTCTATTGCAAAATGAGCATAATTATACTTCTTTCTTGGAGTTGGGGATAATGACATCAGACAGGTAACACTTGACACAGTGCCTATAGACAGCAAGAGGCTAAAATCTACTGGTGACTGTTAACTTTCCTTTCAAACATATTCCTGCCAGGCTCAGACATAAGAAAGAAATTGTATAAATGCCATTGCTTCTGTGTAAATGACCTAGAGCCAGTTAGACTTAAAAGCAAATCTCCACTTTGGGTAACTCACTCTTCCTTTGTGGGCGTCAATTTCTAGATCAATAAGAAAAATAACTGATCTTAAATGAAATACTGAATCCACATAAAATATCTAGCCTAGTGCCTGGAATATGGTAACTGCTTAATAAATGTGGTGGTCATTATTATCATTTTTTTTTAAAGAAAAGCAAACTAGTAGAGGGAAGTAATTTTTCCCAACAGAATTTCTAATAGCAAGTGATGCTAGACATAGCAGTTTATGAAGGCGGTACAAATAGATCTGGAAGAAAACTGAAGGAAGTTTCCCTCTTTTTTAATTATCAATAAGTACTATTCATTGAGGTCAGGCCCGGGCTGCTTGTTTAACCCCTATTATTTCATTTAATCCTATCAATAATGCCATAAGAAAATACAATAATCCCCACTTTATAGATGTTGAGACTAAGGTTCAGAAAGATTATTACTCTCTAAGAATTTGGAGCTAATAACCCAACCCTACTTAAGCAAAAGCTTGGCTCGAAGTGAAGTTTCTCTATCTAGGTTTTTGCTTAATATAGCCAATGCCTAACTCATACTTATATCCAAATATGGATGTATAATAATGCATAGTTTGTTTTATTTTCATCTACAGTGTCACAATCTGGCTGCTCCATTTATGGCAGGTTTCCTGGTGTTCCTGTTGTAGGTCATAATACCAATCCACAAAGCAACAGGAAATCAAAATGGGTTAGAAATAAACAACTTTTGGCAGAAAATGCAACACCCAAGAGCAGACCCAGTACACGTGAACAGGAAGACAATTCTATAAATAAACCACATTGCTGAAATGCTTGAGGCATAGATTTTAATTGCACAAAAGTCAAGAAATTTTAAAGTGGAACTACAGTAAAGGCAGTCAAGTCCCTTTACCTTCAGGATTTACACATTAACATTCAGCTTACCACAGATGAGGAATTAAAGTTTAGAAAAGAAACTTGTTATGAGAGCCCATTGATTATCCAACAAAAGTAACCCATACCCAGCAGCAATGTGGCAAAAGCATGAGCATCGGACAGTCTAAAACTGGAAGCTCAGTTCTCCTACTTACTAGATACATGACACTGAGTACATCATTTAACCTGTCTGAGCTACAGCTTCCACCATTCAGGGAAGACAGCTTAAGTCTGTGCTCTTAACCAATATGCTATATACTATGTATATAAAACAGTACAATGTCTCATATGGAATAGATGCACAGTAAGTAATACCCCAACTGTTAAAATACTTTTAAACTGTCTGAAACATACATTCTTTCACCAAAGTTGAGGTTTCAAAACGAATTTTCCTGTTCTTCACAGGTGTATTTTAACTTTGGAAAGAAACAGATGATGAACCTAAGTCCTGTCTTGATCCACTGTCCCAGCAACCCCTCTCAATCCAATATTAATTTACAATATGCACATTTTTATAAATGAGTATACATACATGGAGGATCTTGGATATAAAATACTTTCACGTGTTAATGTAATTGATTACCATCCTTATTTTACTAAATAAACTGATCCTTCATTTATTCAAGGGTTCCTCCTGCTCCAAGGTCTTTAAACATGCCACTGAATCTTGTTGGAATGATCTTCCCTTGCCTCTTTGCCTCTCATTCTTTCAGATTTAAGCCTAACCACTATTTCTTCAGAGCATGCTTTCCTGTCCACATTCTCCAACCAAATGAGGTCACGTGTCCCAGGGCCCAGTTTCTTAACACTGTGGACTTCATCATAGATTTAATTTTTAACAACACAATATATGTGTAAATAGTTATTATCTGTATCTTGCAAAAGACTAAAAGTACTACAAACACTATAATAATCTTCACCGTTGTATCCTCCATGCCTACCTAGTATAGGGCAATACAAAAGACACAGAATAAATATGACAAATACATGAAAGAAAGTCCAGAAGAATTAAATCCTTGCCCAGGGTCAAAATGATAAAATGAAATCTAAACCTCTGATGGTAGCTCCTCGGCTGTACTTCTCAACACTACCTCCATTATCCCTTGTGCCAGATTTCTGCATGTTCATCAGTGCCATGTAAAGAAAGATATGTATGTTATCTGACTCTGTAATGAATCATTATGTCTTTGGCACAGCCACGGAAAGGATGAAAAACGTGAACAAGTGAAGAGACAGCACTTTGCCCAAGGCAAGGAGATTTTCAGTCTAATATTCCTACCTCATCCCTCCCTGCCATATACTTCCTTGGGATTCATTACCACCCATATTCAAAAAGCACTTGTGGTTGCTCTACTACTAACTGCCACTGGCTTACAACTTACGCCGCCATTTTTTTCTGCCTAGGTTTTTCTTCCTCAACTACAAAGGGGTCAGATGGATTTTCAGGCATCCCAACTATAAAGCTCTCCAGGATTCTGGGAAATGAAATGGAGTATGGTTAAAGGAAAGAGCACTAAACCCAGAGAAGATCTAGAGAAGAGTCCTGTTTCCAGCACTTCCTGAGACTAGTCAGACTCACTAGACCTCAGTCTCACCTGCAAAATCTGTCTGGGTTATGTAAATAAAGGCTTGTGAAGCGGCAGCTATTTTCCAACTGGACAACACAGAATAGTGACTAAAAGTTCAGGCTTCAGAGTCAGATCTAGGTTTGAATTTAAGCTCCATCACTTATTTAACGGCCGCGTGACCCTGGTAAAATGATCTCTGAGCTTCTGTTTCTTCATCCTGGGGAATAATAATACCTACTCCCTCAGGACTGCTCGGAAAATGAAATGTTCCTGTCAGATGGTGTGTTACTAAATATCAGCTGCTATTTAGAAAGTCCCTTGGCATTCCCAAAATTCCTAGCTAGTGAGACGAGCTGCGCCCCCACCCCGTGAGACTTGCTCAAGGCCACAAGCCCCACCCCCAGCATGAAGGTCAGGCTGGACTCTAATGGGACGAGTCAGCGGAGGGGGTCCGGTCCCTCAGGACCCTCAGAAATCTTTGAATGAGAGCCTCTTGCACAAGGACCCCGCGCGAACCTCCGGACACCTCGAGGCCACTCACCAGCTACCGCCCAGGTTACTAAGGGGAAGCCTCGTGCGACGGCGGGCACGGCGGGGACGGCAGGGACTGCGGCGGCGCGGGCGTCATGACGTCACGGTGCGGCGCGGCGGCGCAGGCGTATCGCATCACGGACGGCCTGGCAGCTGGCGGAGTGGAGGCAGACGCTTCGAGTCGTCCTTCGGACCCAGGCGTCTGAACCAGCTTTGGGGGCATGAGCAGAGGGCAGCACGCCGAGGCCACAAGGTGAGTCCGGCTGCGACGCGTCCCTGTCGCTAGCGTCAACCCGCGAGGACGGCTTAACAGAGGCTGCGTTTGCAGGACGGCTTTCAGGCTCCGCCCCGGATTGTCCTGCTTCTGGCCCGGAAATAACAACCTAAGTAATGATCCCTTGCCTCTGGGGATCTGCTGCCAGTAATTGGGAAGCCGGGGTTCCAGGCTTGACCCCACTATTCTCTTTTAGGAACAAACGCCTTTGCTTCTCTGGACTAGTTTCCCCAGTGATTCCTCCTGGCTTCTAGGGTTGTTGCAGTTTAGCAGGGAAGATAGATGTAAGAGCATTTTGTGAACTGTGAGGTTGTCTCCATTAAGTCACATGTCATCTTAATCTTTTATTACACTCTACCATTCCTCCAAAAGCCCTGTGCTGGGCTGTCACCAGTATAGTCTTAAGACAAAAACGATCACATGAGACGGGAATAATTCTACCCATTCTAGGAAGAAAGATGAAACCGAGGTTCCCAGTGAAATGTCTTGCTTTGTTCATTCACTCACAGTAAATATTGAGCACCACTCCTGAACCAGGTAGTGTCCTGTTGCTGATAGAGCCATGATCTAGACTGTCAACGGCCTGCCCTCTTGGAGCTCACATTCTAGTGAGGGAAACAGAAAATATAACATTAAACAACTCAATGAATTATATAGGAAGCAAAATATGGCTGTGATAGAGACTAGCAAGAGACTCTACTCTGGTAGGAAAACCGTGCGGGGTGGGTACTTAAAGGAAATCATGTGACTTGCTAACATCTCACAGTAACTTAAGTGCGAATGTCAGGATTTGAACGAATATTTCTTTGCCCCTATTCTGCATTCTTCACGTTAAAACATGGTACCTTTTGGGAGTATTAAATAGTTTTTGGTATTATCCATATATTTAGATATGAGAAAATTAGAAGTTCCTGTCATTTAAATCTCAACTCAAATGTCATCTCAGTCTAAAGTCGTCCAACCTCGTGCCACACCACCTTGCTTAATTGTGTTTGCAACATTTATAAGTGATTATATCTTGCCTATTTCTTTGGCTTTTGTTTTGTCCTGCTCACCTTCCAAATGTCAGCATTGTCTGATCACTGCTGTGACCCCAGTAATTAATTAGAAGATGCCTAGAAAGTTGAAAATCAGTCTTTTTTTTTTTTTTTTTTTTGAGTGAATGATTTGTAGGAAAGAAGGGAGTTAGCAATGTGTAGTTGCTTGACGCACATTGCTAAACAGATTAGGGATGTGAGTGGGAAAGGAAGAAAAATACACATGTGTAAGGCGCAAATAAACGTGTAAATTTGTTCCAACAATTAACCCAGGGACTGTTGTGTGCTAGATGTTATAGGGTGCAGCAAGATGAATAGGAGTGTTAATATATGTCAGCTTTTGTTGAGACACAGTTCCTAGAGAGCTCTAAGACCCTTCTGGATATGTAGGGCACATATGTTTCTCCAGCAGAGTGTTCTGAAGTCTGGCATAGCCTGCCATCTTTCAACTCCATTATCTTTTCTTTCTGTATCACATTGTGCATCCATTCAAGTTTTAGTTTTTTAATCCATTGTCCCATTTTTGGTCTTCTCAGCAAACAACTTAGAAATAGAACAAAAAATGAGGACATTAAAAATGAGGAAGCTGATGCTCAGAGAAAAATGACTTCCAGTAGAAATGCTGCAATTGGAAAGTAGATCTGACACCAAGCTTTCTGTCTTTTCTTTTTTTAATTTTGAGACAAATCTCGCCAATTTGCCCAGTCTGGGCTCCTTCCTCGGCTTCCTGGAGTGCTGGGATTATAGGCATGTGCACCATGCCCAGCTTTTCTGCCCTTTCCATTACTATCTCCATTATAACCCTCATTTTCCTTGGCTTTGAGATGAGCAATTTCAGAGACTGAGACTAGTAGTAACTTACCAGTCTTAAATGCTTTCTAGGTGTCATGTGCTTTCTGAATGTTTTAGAAGTGTTAACTCAGTAAATCTGCAGAATTTTATGTGTTTTTAGCCCCATTTTACAGATGAGGAAACCAAGAAAATGTTAACCTGCCCAAAGTTATATAACTAGCAAATGGTAGAACTTGAATCAACTAGGAAGAAATTAGTCTCTTCTTCTCGGTCTCTCCCAAGATAGTGAACATGATAATAGCTAGTACACATTGATAATTTATTGTTTTTAGATACAGTGATTAATGATTTTTTTTGTGTACTATCTGTAATTTTCACAACCACCCTATAAAATAGAACTATTATCTTCATTTTTATATTTGAGGAAACTGACGCCTACAGAAGTACAGCTAATTCACCAAGTCACACAATCAGCTTTGAAACCCAGCTCTAACTCTGAAACTTGTTCATAGATTTCCTGGTGGTAGGTTTGTGTGCATGTGTATGTTTTTTGTTGTTTCGTGTTTGTTTTGTTTTGTCTTGTTTTGGTGCTGAGTATTGAATGTAAGGCCTCTCACACGTGAGGCCAGCACTCTACCACAGAGCTATGTTCTCAGGCCTGTGGACAGATTTCCTGTGTTCTCTTCTCTTTGTTGTATTGCCTGTTCTATGAGGACAGGTGATACAGAGTTGCTCATCTCTTCCTGTCCACTTCAGTGCCTTTGAGACTGTCCTCCTCGCGGTTTCCAGGGCTTATTTGGGGTGACAGTTGTTGGACTGGAGTGTCATGTAGTCATAGACTTTGGCCTCTTGCCTAGTCAGCCTCTAGCTTCAGAGGAGGAAAGCTGGAGTTTCTCCACACAGCCATGCCTCTTTCACCTTAAATGACAGCTGCTGTACTGTGGCTGCCAGAGGAGCTGTCCTAAGGGAACTGGTTCTGGGGCCCTGGACAGGCCAGAGGATGTACCCACCTTGGATAACGTTTGTTGGGTTCAGTTTGAGGTATTGTGTTCACATAGGGCTGCTCTTCCCCTCTCTGAATGTTACATTGCCTTTAGTTTTTCATAGAGATTGATGGAAGCAGAAACCAAAACTCTTCCTCTGGAGAACGCATCCATCCTTTCAGAGGGCTCTCTACAGGAAGGACACCGATTATGGATTGGCAACTTGGATCCCAAAATCACAGAGTAAGTCCAAGTCACCTTCATTCATTACCTACAAATTGGGAATATTTGCAGTGATGATGTTCAAAAGAATGTTCAAGGGATGTAGGATGTATTTTGGTCTTTTAATTTATGTTTTATCTTTGAGGGGGGTAATGTTATTAGCTTGTTATCTTGTCCCTTTTCTTACGTCTATACTCTGCTACTTTAAGGACACAGTCTTTGGTGTCATTTAAAACACAGAACTCTTTTTTTTTTTCTTCCTTGCCAAAGATATTCTCTTATTCCCAATTATTTGAGTCCTTGTATTCAGTGGCTACAGAAAATTGTTTTCTAGAATCAGCCTTGGGTGTTTTTTCCTCCCACAATGAAGGAATAAGCAGAAGTCTCAGTACCTTTGCAACAAAGCAAAGGAGTACAAATTGACTAATTCTTCTAAGCAGCTGTGAAACAGTAGAAGGTGAGAATGGGAAGGGATCATGCCAGTCCCTTTGGTTTTCATTTTCATTAAATGATTTGAGTATCTAGCCAAGTGCTGCGCTAAACAATTCTCAGACATTTTAAACTTGAGGAGCCCTGTCATAAAGTGAAAGTAATCAGAAGCAATATGTAAAAAGCAGCTGCTCTGATCACAAGGAAATGTGCCCAAAGCCTTTTTTCATCTGCCACACTTTCTTTGGCAGTCCCTGAAGAAGCTGCGTAGGACTCACAGGTCTTCATGGAGCACACTTGGAAACCTCTGATGCATCCCAGCTTTCTAACCCTATAGTACAGGAAACTGGGACCTAGGAAGTACCTTGCCATTGGTCCCAGAAGTAACTGAATTGTCCTTACTCCACCCTTTTCTTCCCAGTCATTATTGTGGGAAGGAACTTCTTAGCAGAGATTTGAGAAATTTTTCCTCCATAGTTGTTTCGTAGGGGTAGGTGGTGCTTGGTGGCAAGAGTAGTGAAGGGTGAGTGAATTAACCTGCCTGAAATCAATGCTTACAGCAAGCATAGAATATGCCATCAGTCATAGGAGTTGCTTCCTTTGGAATGCTGTTAGATGTGAGTGGAAGCTGCTTACTTGAGTCTGAGATGAGAGGAGGTATATTTAAGGATTAGGACTAGGAGAGACAAAAAGGAAGTCAAATAAAATTGTGGATCAGGATCATGACAGAAAACTTAGCTCCTTAAATCTGCTCAAACTCAAATCAGCTAAATGTCGATATTTAACTCACTCTAGAAATTATAGTATTTAAATATATTGTCCCCATGTTATGTTACCTTGGTCACAGGAACCATGGAATGTTGCATTTATCTCTGTTTTCTTATCATTCATGGCTTTGAGAATGGACTTGTGAATCTGCCCAACTTCTCAGTTAGTGTCCCTTCATCAAAGGAGCTTTTTCCATCATCTAAAACTGGTGCTATGAGGGATGCTTCCAGGAGTGGTTTCCATTCCCACCTCTGCCAGTGGGAATGGAAAGCTGAAGCATGGAAACAATGTGGCTGTATTCGCTGCAGTTCTCTGTCATGAGACTCTTGTGCTGATTGTGTCCTGCTGCTCACCAGGTAGGTTCAGATAGGCATGTGTTATCAGGAAGGCTCAGTGTGGTGCAGCTTATGTCATGAATTGGAGTGTATGAATTATTTTTTTTTAGTGAGAGGTTTAATGGAAACATAGAATCAGAACTTTCCTGCTAGTACTGCTGATCTTTTTCCATAAGGCCAAAGATGGACATTAGGTACCAAACTGTAGATCAAGGCCTTGCTGGACAGAAGTGCTTACATTCTACTTATAGCATCCCTACTTCTGTATCACCAAAGAATATTTTTACTACTTTTCTTCTGTAGATTCGTTACCTTAGAGCATTTTGTCTACCAAACAGATTTATTAAATAGTAATTAATTTCTTTTTAAAGACATAACTACCAGTTACAGTTTATGGTTAACATTAAATGTTTAGTATTTCTTCATTTAATTTACTTAATCATAGCACAGAAACCTAACATTTTAGTAAAGCAAGTCTTGTGGAAACATAATTTCCTTCCAAGCTGTTGAAATATTTAAATTTTTGGATCTTGCTCTTAAGGTAGCTAATGGTGAGCCTAGATCAATAATTAAAATACATTTATTCCCAAACGAAGGGTTACAAACTCTAATTTAGGTGAACATAGGATTCTTGTCTTGTGCACAGGTCCAGTCTTAGAAACTATTAGGTGAATCCAAATCTCTAAGCTTCTAATGACCCTTGACAAACGTTTTTAGAGTATCCTTCAGTTTTCCTACTTAACTTAACCCCCATCCACAGATTGCTTCCAGTTCCTGCTATTTTCCTTCAACGGGGCTTTCTTACCTCTTTATCTTATGTGTATGTTCCTGTGCTTTGCCATCTTTCTTCCTGATCTCCTTCATAAACTGACTTCAATGTCCCTCCCATACAGATGTTTTATATCTTGTTAAAAGAACAATAGTGTATATGTTTACGGTTGCCTAATTATAGGATGTAGAAACTGGCAGTTTTTAAAAACAACCACACTTTCCCACTCAGTTTTTCTCAGTTTTTGTTTTTTTGAGATAGGTCTCACTATGTAGTTTAGACCAGCCTTGAGCTCACTATGTAACACAGGCTGGACTCAAGCTCATAATGATCCTCCTGCCTCAGCCTCCCAAGTGCTGGTATTACAGGTGTGCCCCACCATATCCAGATCAATTTTCTGAGTTTACTGTGTGTGTACCTCTTGGTTATTAATCTGAGTCTTGCTAGGATGGTCATTAGTCTTTTCTTAGCAGAATATACGTTGCTGTTTAGTACTCTGATATTATGTTTTTTGTTTATATGTGTCCCTGGTGTGGTTGCAATTCTGACCATTTTAGAGCTATGCTACATGCCCGAAGTACTTATATGATTAACTAGGTCTTACAGATTTGGATCTGAGGGAGTGGTGATACACTCTTATTTACAGAGGTAGCAGACTCCAAACCCCTTTTCTTTCCACTATATTCTAATTGTTCAATTATATTAGACCTCGTATTTCCTACCCATAAAATAAGAACATTCAACTAAATGATATGAACAGTTCTTCTAATGCTTAATATTATATGAAGTCCTCTTATTTAAGCTCATAACAACTTTGAAAAATAAGTGGAACAGATATTTTATAAGAAGAGTTACGTGAGTTGGCTCAATTTACTGAAGTAGGTAGTGATAGGTCTAATTACCCACTATCTAGTTTAGTGTACTTTGCACAGATGTTCTAATAGTCTGAGTAATTGAACAGTCATGACCTAAAGTATTATTTTAAATTTAAGCAGATAAGAACTTATTTTAAATTGTTATGGGACCAAGTAGAACTATAACATTAAATAGTACCTCAAAATATCATTACCAACGTCTTCAGCAGAGAAGCTGAAAAACTCAATGTCCTTGGACAATCTATTTTCCATATTGTGATTACCTTGAAAGAGTTAATGCTGGCTTTCTTTTTCAAATATTGAATGTGGTATGTAGAAAGCTAAATTAACAGCTACTGCTTATACATAAGAAGAAATGTGAGAGAGAAAAAAGCCAGTAGAAATTCTACTAGAGCATTTTAAGCCAAGATAAAATCATAAATAAAAATATAAGAAAGATTCTTTTTTATTTTAATGTAATACAAGTAAAAAATATGGAATGCTTCAAGAATTTGTGTGTCATCCTTGCGCAGGGGCCATGCTAATCTTCTCTGTATCATTCCAGTTTTAGTATATGTGCTGCCAAAGTGAGCACAGAAAGATTCTTCTGTATAAGCAGAATATTAGGAAGACTTTTGGCATGAGAGAGATTGCACACTAAACTGTAATAAAGAGAGTAGTAGATCTATAGAATACTATCAAGTTAAGACAGGTCTTTAAAATTTATTCAGACGAGTTTGAATTTTATGTTCAAGAGGTTTGTTGTGGTGTTTATTAACAAGAGAACGACATCATGAAAGCAGTGGTTTAGTAGGGAAATCAGACCTCAAATACATAAGATGAATTGGATGGGCGGAGACTGCAGATCGCCGTTGGGAGAGACTACCGTAAGCAAGCCCACCAGTCACTACTGCTTAGATTGAGGCAAGAACTGGAGACTGATGAGTGAGTCTGACACATGACACATGTAAACAAAGGGGAGTAGGGAGTTGAAGATGATCCCTGATTTTGTTCTGTGGAGCTAGGGAGTGAACCCAGGAATTTGAGCACCTGAGAGTTCTTACCTGAGGCATGTAGACAACTCATGTTCCCACTGCCCATAGGCCAGCTGGAAAGGGCCTTCAGTATATAGTTGGGGTTTGTTAAGAAACAAAAGCCGTGGCCAGCCAACCAGGTAAAAGTATCCTGAGGTAGATTTTCCTCAGGGATTAACTAGATAAACTAGAATGCAAGGGAAAATAAATGTTCGGGTGTATGAACACAGTTTACCCTGAGGAAGCCTGTTTTTTTCTCAATCCTTTCCTTACTGTTCCTTCATTATCTATGCTTCTTTTTATGTCTGTTTTGTTACTTAACTCTAACACAATAAAACCATTTAGTAAGATACCTACCACAGAATGTAAAGACCCCTCTAATAATTCTGTATGTTTATGAAGAAAATTTCTGTAAAACAAATTATGTGCTAAAAACAAATGTCTTTTCATTGGCTACCCATTGCCTACAATGTCAAATTAAAACTCCTTGAGCATATAGTATTCTTCACACCCTATCCCCTGCCTACTCGTCAGCCTCATCTCTAACTTTCTACCCCTACTCTGTCCCGGTGGATCAGCTCTTTTAGCCAAGTCACCCGAGTATCACCCTGACAGCCGAGAATCAGGTAGCGGCACACAGGGGCAGTATTAACACTTCGCAGTAAATAAGTGGGTTTGCGGGTTGCAGTTTGGGCGCTCAGTCTCTAAAAGGTTCGCCATCATTGTCTTTATATCTTCACACTCACACTCACATACTCTGCTCAGCCCTCACCAATTTCACAAAGCTTTCTTAGCTACCACCTTCTCTATATGTGGAGCTTCCTCCATCTTCGTGTGCATGTGCATATTCCTATGTGCAAGTGTCGCACTGTTTTATAGATAATTATATATTGCTTTCCTTGGACCAGAACATGCTCTCCGTGGAGCAGTTTTATTCATTTGCATAGTCACAAGTGCCTAATTGGTTAGTAGTAGTAGTAGTAGTAGTAGCAGCAGCAGTAGCAGATACTGTTATTAGTGTGTATTAAATTTGGCAGATTTATACATGCATGTAACATTGTTAGATCATTTTCACCCCTCATCACCCTTCTTTCCCTTTACCTTCTACCACCTGTTCGTTGCTTTTCTCTAATACTCCCTCTTTTATTTTCTTTTACTTTTCTTGACACATAGTAAGTATCTGTTTTAACATTTATGTAGATGTATCGCTTCTGTGCCATTGGACAAGAAGGCTGTTTTAAAGACTCCTTACAGAAAGCCCTTATTAAGTTGCAGAAATGTTGTAGGGTTGATGTACTAATTCTTCTGAAGGCAGCAGGGCACACATGTCACATGGCACACAGTGAAGGAAGCCTCTGATGAGTAGAGCTCGCCCATACTGCAGCAACAGATAAAAGTGCTTGCAGATGTGAAAGCAAAATGCTTCAGTCTTTTTTCACTATCAGAGCTTGCAGTCCCCATCTCCAGGAAGCAAAATAGTAAACATTTCATTCCTTTTGTTTCGGTATTGTGATAATTTCAAGAAATTATCAAACAAGAAAAGAAATCCTGGAGAAGTTGAAAGACACAGACCTAAGCAGATGTTCCTGGAATCTTAAGGTCATACTTCTCAGGCAGAGTGTGTTTGTTAGCTTTACAATGAATAATCTGTTGGCATATTTGTCTTTTGGTTTGTTTTTTTTTTTTTCTGAGTAAATTAAAATTCATTCCTAGGAAATGCCAATCATGTTACCTTCCTGCTATTAAGCAGAATGGAGCTAATGAAAAGATGGCCAGCCCACAGCAGTCTTAGATTTTTTTTTTAATGAGTTTGTCCCACGAACTGTCGTGGTGTACCGGTTTCAATGGGTATGGTAAGTGGAAGGTATAGCTGTGAATTAAAGACCCTGGGGGAGGCCCTGCTAGCCCATCTATCTGTATCTAAGAGACTCACACTTACTGTAAGCCAGTCAAATAAAAGCAGAGATTTGCACTTGAGGTGTCTCCAACCTAAAGAGTTACTGCCTACATTCTCACTGGTAGTTGAGGTTTCCTGATGAGAATTGGGAATTAAGAAAGTAGAGTTTACAGTTGTTTTCCATTTTAAAACAGGGCCAGAAACCAGATTGCTTTCCATCTACAGTATGCCTGGGGATCCTTCCATCCTGCCCCAGCCCTAGACCTGTATTATGTCTTCCTTCTTCCCCGGTGTCAAATGCCTGATCTAGGATAATGGGCTTGCTTGTTGATGTGTGTTAGTGTCAAATTTACAATAGCTTATGATTTATTTCATATTTTTCTGCTTCCCAAAGGAGTTTCTTGTTCAAGAATAAAAGTTTGATGATTTTCTCCTAGAAAACAATGTAAATATGAATGTGGCTCTAAGGACAACTCTATTGACTCCCTGTGGGGTAGAATTCCCAGTAATAACAGATTTAGCATGTGGGCTGATACCTTTTTAGTATCACAGGGACAGCATTGTTTAGAGAAAGCCTTGACTCCACTTGAATAGCTTGGAGGATGCCAGGAGGAAGGCTAAAGGAAAAGGAAACGGGAGAGCTATTGGTTTGTCTCACCCTTACATCAGATGACAGGAAGTCGGGATTGAGATTGGCCACAGCAACCTGTTAAGGCCACATCTGTTTGAATAACTTAAAAGCCCTGCAGAAACCAAATAGGTTTTAGAGTAAGGAATCCAAGAAAAGGATAGGGAGCAGAATGACAAGTAATACCTTATGATAGTGAACAATCCTGCCGGGAATAAATTTCGTCCTTGACTTTTCTTTACTTGACCATACCCTGGGATATAAACTGTGTTAATTCAGCCGAGGCAAGTACTTACCGAAGTGCCACTAGCTAAAGTTTGTTTTTTGGCAAAATTTCTTACAAGTACAATTTGGGTCTAATGATTAATTACACTATCTAATAGGGAAGTCTTCCAGGACTGTTTTCTTGTTTGTGGGAACATGTATGTGTTTGTTACTTTGTCTTTGAGATGGGGTAGGCTTTGGCTTTTGGAGTGTGGGTGTACATTTCTGAGGGAGTTAACAGTTATTCACAAATACTATCTTATTGCCAAGAAATTAAAAATAAATAAATTGACACTATTTTTGAGCTTTTCTCCAAAAGAAAAACAAATGGTACTTGTGGGCCAGACAGCTGTTTGTTAGGTGTGGGTTTTTTTGTTTGATATTTTTATGTTGGACAGATGCATAGGCATGACAATTCTAGTTCCCATTCCAAATAGAGGCAAACAACTCTGCTTGCCAAATAAACTTAACACAGCCATTTGGTTGAAGGCAGCGGGTGAGGGCAATAGATTTGATCCCTAGGGTAAATCTCCTGCTCTTACCTTGCACTTGAGCTTGAGAGGTGAACAGAATTTCTAGCATATTCATGGCTCTTCTGTCTCCACAGATACCACCTCCTCAAGCTCCTCCAGAAGTTTGGGAAGGTGAAGCAGTTTGACTTCCTCTTCCACAAGTCGGGTGCTTTGGAAGGACAACCTCGAGGTTACTGTTTTGTTAACTTTGAAACTAAGCAGGTAATTGAGCTTCTTCCTTCTTTCATGGTACTTCCCTCCCTCTGTCGTGATTTTGTGTATCTCTTGACTACTAAGACCTGGAGTTCCTGTGGGCAGGAGCCATGTTTGACTCTTCTCTGTGTGCCTTAGGCTGAGTGCTGAAAGAGATGCTCAGTAAACGAGTTAGTGAGCAGCTTGCAGAATCTGCTCTCCCTCCAAGCTCAAGGACCTACTTTGACTGCTCAAATGATTTTGGGTGTGCTCATTGAGCATGTGAACATCCCCCTACCAGTCCTGTTTTGTTTCTTGAGTGGCTGGCAAGCAAAGCCTCCTTTTCTTTCAGCAGCTTTGCCCTGTGGTACAGAAATCCTGTCTGTGGTGAGCCACCCACAAACTCTGTTTTGATTTCTTAAAAATGTACCCTCCTGGCCTGAGGATGTAGCCTAGTGATAAGAGTGCTTGCCCAGTACACACAAGACCATGGGTTCAGTCTCCATCACCAAAAAAGTAGTAGGAAGAAGAAAAGTACCCTTCTCAAATGCATACAGATTTTACTACATGCACAAAAGCGTTTAGCTTCAACCATGGTATGTTTATATATCTTCTTGTATCGAAATGTAGTTATTGAAGAAATGCATTGGTAAAGAAATGCAATTTCTATGTTACTAAACATAGGGATGCTGCTTAGTACTCCATAACTTCATCTTTTGAAGGAACATTGCCTTGTTATTTTATTAATAATATCATAGATGTTTCTCTTATTATAAAAGTAATACATGCTTATTTTGGATGGAAATAAAGATAACCAAAAAATTTTTAAATCACTGTGCCCAATACAGAAAAAGAATTACACAATATCTTGTTGTATATTTTTTTAGTATCTTCACATTCTCACACACATAAACACATGAACAGTTTATAACTTACAAATAGGATATTCTTTATCATTCAAAGCCTCTTAAAATTTTTCTGTCATCTAGTACACATCAAGGTAACACAGTAAATTATGATACTGTGATTTTGTTGGTATGTATTGTGTACATGCATGTGGATGTGTGTACATAGAAGAATATTGATCTATATCTGAGATTAGTGCATTTTCTATATGTGACTTAGAGTACAATTGAAAACGAATCAGTGTTTTTGATGACAAATGATATTTGAGTTATCTTTAGTGATTGACTAGTGTAAACATCAAAGTCATGAATATCTTTGTAGCTCTCACTATATGTATTACTTATTACATTATGAAAGTGGATAGCATCATCAAAGACCATGCACATTTTTTCCTTAAAATAGTTGCCAAAATGCCTTCAGTAAATGATGTGTCACTATATTCTGTAGAAGAGTGTCATTTGTCCTTACCAGTGCTGGGTGGTTTTTGTTGTTTGTTTTGTTGTGGTGCTGAGGATCAAACCTCAGGATCTCGCACATGCTAGACAGGTACTCTGCCACTGAGCTACATGCCCAGCCCTGAGTGTGATAAGTGATACTTTATTCATCTGATTATTCAGGTTTTTTGAAGGAAGTGAAATAATACACATATGGTTAACAAAATTAATACTTTGTTCCTTGGTGACAGAATGTGATAAGGATTCATGCAGACAACAATAAGAGGTCATGTTGGGGTCAGATGTTGGTTTACAAACACTACACTAAAAGTCATAAAGTATACCTTGTACATCTAACTCTTTTTATTAACTTTGAATAAGTTTCTTAATTTCTTTTGGCTTCAGTTTCATGTAAAAATTGGGGTCAGGAACGTGCTTACCTTGTAAAAATTTGGGGACATACATAAAGTTACATATGAAACACAGTTGGCAGTGTTTTGAAGATGGGAAATTGTTTTTTTTAAACACTTACTCCTTCCCTGCTGGCATCTTGTTACTCCTGATACTTCAGAACTACTGGAGTGCCATCATGTAAGTTCTAATTCACCAAGTGAAATGTAAAAGAAAAATCACATCTCTTACTTAGCTCTCTGTCTGCAGTAGTGAAGCAGAGACGGCCAGTGAATGAACCAGTGCCTGACACACTGTGGGTATTGACTTTTTTTTTTTTTTCTGGTACCAGGAATCAAACTCACGACCTCGCTCTTGCCAGGCAGGCGCTGTGCCGCTGAGCTAAATCCCCAGCCCCACACTGTGGGTATTGAATAAATACTTGTTGAATGTTGTGATAATGAGCTCCAGCAAACCAGAGGATCACCAGTAAAACCAAACTGGAGTGCCTTTTTGTATTACACCTTAGTCTCAGATAGACTCCCTGTCTGCAGGACTTCTTATTTCTCTTCTGTTCTTAAAGGGCTTCTTCACCCCACTAAACACAGGTTACAGTACTTGGCTAAATGCCTCTTGGTTACAAATAGGACAAAGAAGGTTGTCAGGATGGGAAAGTACAGCCAGGTTTCCTGGGAGTGACCAAGAGTGACTATTTTCTAGCTTCAGGAATTCCTTTCAACCTTGTTACTCCTGTATCTAATGGGGAAAGGGTCAGGGAACTTGTGCCTCTGAAAAGCAGGTGCGCAGAGTGACTCTCACAGACACCTTGTTCACAGGCTGTGTGACTCCTGCTTTTCCCATCTTAGTTTCCTTCACTCCTCTATCCTTTAGGCCCAGGAAGGAGTACACCTGAGTCCAGGATACAGTTCCTAAGGTCCCTGCGGTAGTATAATTTCTTGAGATAATAAATGCTACCCCAACTAATGAAGGTGTGTAGCAAGGCATCACCTAATTAGAACGCTGCCATTGGCTAACATTAAGTGTGTACATATGCTCCATGCTTTACATGAACTCTAAATCCTTGCAACCACTAAGGTACAAGTAGTAGCATCCTATTTTACACGTGACAAAACTAGAGACATTAACTAACCTACCAAATGTTGTACTGCCAATAAGTGCCAGTCAGGATGTGAATTTTATCTGACTGGCTTCTTAAAACTCATACCTTTTTTTGTTACTCTGCCTTTTAAAATTATAAACTCTTTGCCAAGTATTTGCCAAAAGCTATTTAGTTAGAGACTGAGCCATCAAAGCTGGTGAGGTCCCTTGAAAATAAAAATAGCTACTTCAGCATTTGAATTTTTGACTAACTGTCATTCCTCTCCTGGACAGGAAGCAGAGCAAGCCATCCAATGTCTCAATGGCAAACTGGCGCTGTCTAAGAAGCTGGTGGTACGATGGGCACATGCCCAAATAAAGGTATGTCTCAGAAGCTAGAGGACACCCTCCTGCCTTATCCTAAATGACTCTCTGAAAGACAATTGCTCATTTCTGCATTTGCATCCCAGCCTCTTCACATCTGGAACTGCCATACTTTGGTCTCCTACTTGTATTTACCATGTGTGTTGCCAGATTTTTCTTTTGAGAAGCATCTCAGGAGGGATTAAGTTCCTTCGTTGTTTCTCTCCACATGCCCACAGATCCTGTTTTTGATTGATTTTTCCATGTGGCTGATGTGTATACTCAGACCTCTATCTTTTTTTTTTTTTTTTTTTTGGTGAGTAGTGTTCTTTAGAGGAAAAAATGTAGTATTTATTTTTAAGATTAGTTGCCATAGGCATTATTAGACTCTTCCCAGCCTCTCAGTGCTGTGGAGAGTTGGAGTTTGTTTATTATTGCAAATGCTTCAGAAATGGGTAGTTTCTATGTGTGCTTACAGCACTGGCATCTCCTGAGTCCAGAGATCTTGAGAGTTACTAGAGCGTGGGTTTGTGGGACTCTGCAGTGCCTTTATTGTCTCCAAGCCCTGAGAAATGGCATACTGCCTGTTCATCCTGTAGTTGGTCTGCTGGGGGAATGCACTAATAAAGCTGCAGCCATTAAAGGGAGAAAGATACTCTGTTCCAGCTGGCACAGAGGTGTTAAAGAATGTGGACTGGAGTAATCCCAAGAGTAGGCTGTCTTCCTTCTACAGGGGATCTTCACAAACCTGCTGCAAAAAGATTTGTGACAGAGTTAGAACTGTGTCTTTTCACTGTGTGAGCATGGTTCTTGATCAGAGACACTCTACTCCCAATGAACAAGCTTCCCAGTCAGAGGTCACAAAAGCTAAACAGACATTTAAGTCTAGTGTCCAAGCTGAAAAACAAAGTTCATACTCATAGGGTCCTTCTGAGCATTTCAGGTAATCGCAGAGCCTTCCCAATTTCTAGGACACATTGCCATAAAAATAGAAACGACAAGGAGAAGTACCAAATGCTTTTTTTACTCGAAATCAAGTCTCATTTGCCAAACTGGATGTCGCTTTCTTGTTCCGTATCTCATTGAAAAGGCATGCAAGAGAAATCATGCATCAGTCATCTTTCAGATTTACAGGAGAACCCTGTAAATCTTTCTTGATGGAAGGCTCCTAGTTACTCTTTAATACTATATTTACTTTTTTAGTAACATATGTGATTATCTAACATCAAATTAAACTTTTATGATGTAATGTCTTCATATCAGCACCTGTAAGCTGTTCCTGCTTTTCTGTTCAGTTCTGTTAAGAGTTGAGTATTAGCTTGGTAGTTTGGCAAATCTAGCAAAGTTTTAAAGTGTTTTGAATAAAACAAATATTGTAACAGGCGATATGTGACAGTTAAAATAAGAATGTAAGAGGGTAACCCTGCTGTGTACTTGCACCAGGTGTGAATTTGAGTGTTGAAATTCTTGCCCTGTCAGCCAAGGAGGACTTTAATGGCTAGGCGGAAGCTTCTTACTGACTTTCCCTAAACTCACAAGTTCTAGAGCAAAGCCGTAGAGTTTCATAGTAATTTTACATGTCCAGCAATCCTAAAAGTATGCTGATAAACTGGATGGGTTTAGTTTCTGAACCTATACACTGCAAAAAAGAACCTGTTGCTGACCAAGTAAAGCAATCTGCCGCCCTTTTTTTCTAGAGGTACGATCATAGTAAGAATGACAAGACTCTTCCAATCAGTCTGGAGCCGTCTTCAAGCACTGAGCCCACGCAGTCTAACCTAAGGTAAGATGCTGTGATACAGGACAGAGTTATTCAGCAACCAGAGCCGTTTCTTCTTCCCCCCCTTCTTTTATGCCATAGTGAATCTTTTAATAGCGATTAATTTAGAATAGTTACTCATCTGACATATTGAGAGATGTGTTCAGTAACCTTCAGAATGTAAACATTCCTCTCCTTCCATACTCCCAAGAGCATATAACACCACACCACACCACACCACACCCCCCATCTATAGAATTCACTCTGTTAGAGAAGGTTGGGCTTCGTTACCACACACCAAGCCATCTGCCAGGCACTGAGGATACACAGATAAATCAGACACAGCCCTTACCCTAAAAACAAGTAGTTTAATAAGGCCTTGGGTCCCTTTGGCATTTGTCACTATACACTTGATTCCTTCCCAACTATGAGTTCCCTTACACAGAATTTTAGTTTGCAGACATTTGATTCTGTGTACCATTGCAGCAACTATAATAGTTTTGGCTCTAGCTTATATGAATTGTCAATTACTTCTTTGGAGTTAATTCAAAACAGGGGCACCGAGGGTTTTTTAGAGAAAGGGGAGGTTAAGTGTAGTTGAGCAGAAGCAGGAAGGAGGAGATATTTGCTACGGTGTGTGTTTTTTTTTTTTTTTTTTCAAATTTTAACAAAAGTTTTATGGGTTTTTTGTTTTTCAAATTTTAACAATACCAGAAAGCTGGGCATGGTGGCCCACACCTGTGGTCCCTCAGTACTCAGGATACTGAGGCAGGAGGATTTCTTGGAGTTCAAGGCCAGCCTGGGCCAGCCTGGGCCAGCCTGGGCTAGAAAATGAGTTAAAGACCAGCCTTAACTGCATAGTGAAACCCTATCTTGCAAAGACCAAAAAAAAAAAAAAACAAAAACCAGAGTTTATCAAGCTTATTATGAAGCAACTACTGCACTAAATTCTTTATATGCAGTATTTCATTTAATTATCCTAAAAAGAATTTTGCATATGAGAAAACTGAAGCTTAGGTGAACTACCTTTGTCAAAATTATGCAGGTATCAAATAGCAGAATGGGAATTCAAAGCCAGGTCTAATGTACTTTGAAATTCATACCTTAGCTACTACTTCAAAGTTATTGCAAGCTGTAAATGTAGGAATATGGTTCTGAAGCCTGTTTTAGAATATAGGGAACCATCAGTGATACATAAGGATAAGAAATCAATAGTCATAAAACCAAGAAAGTGATGCCTGTTTGAATTTAGGGCCAGAAGGAGGAAAAATGCCTTTCTTGGATATTATCTGCACCAAACAAAACATTTAAAAATATTACTTAACTATAGAGGGAGGTAGTCTTGAAATACTTTCAGGATTACTAAATTTGTAAATTGAAGTTAGATTTACAGTTACTCAGTTTAATTTAATGTCATGATACTAATTTTAGGTTGTCCTCATTGTTTTGTGCTCCTGGAAATTTAAAAAAATGATTATGTCTCTTACATTCACTGGGAGGCATGTCCACTGTGCTATCTTCCCTGGAAGATTTGAACCTCCTTGATCACAGGTTGATTTCTGGTGGTTTTTATAAATCTAACTGCATGGATGACTGAGAGTTTTTGTTTGTTTGTTTTTGAGATAGGGTCTCACTATATAGCCCAGGCTGGCCTCACACTCACAGCAATCCTCCTGCCTCAGCCTCCTAAGTGCTGAGATTACAGGCATGCACCATCACACCTGGCAGATGACTGGGTTTATGCTTCATGGTTTCTATATTACAATGAACGCGTATTTAGTTTATTGTGATGAGTTTGTGCCACTTGTTTACCAGGTAGCCTAGTGTCTTCCCATCTATTTCTTTTTCCAGAGAATCTCAGTTTACATCTTTCTGTTGAAACTATGCCTAATTAGAGAAGTTGTTCACCCATGACTCATATAGAACAGAGGGCTGGCTATCTTGTTAATAAAAGAGGTGCCAGAATGTGTCCTGGTAATACCTCAGTATTCTTTTTATTGTAATTTAGGGGTTTTAAAAAAATGTTTAATGGACACATGAAAATTACACATATATCTATGGGGTGCTATGTGATGTTTCAACGCATGTATATATCGTATGATATTGAAATTAGGGTAAACATATCTTTCTCTTGAAACAGTTAATCATTTCTTTATGGTAATCTAATGATTAATTTCTTGCCCATGAAAATTTGTGGCTGTGTGCAGCAGATGTGTACCTCTTGAGAATCTCTAGAAGATGATCACTTCCAAGTTTCTCTCACTAGCTGTAGACCACAGTCTGCATCAAGAGTGGAAAGTAAAGGTATCTGGGCCAAAAAATTCCCACTGCCGGAGTGCATTCTGATACAAGGAAAGCAGTGATCTCACTCAGAAGCAAATTCCTCATCACTTCCACAGCATTTCCTTACTCTCTGTATAATTCAATCTGTTCAGCTCCCATTCTGATAGAAAAGAAAGAAGCAAAGGCTTTGACAGTAAACAAACTGGGATTGAACCCTGGCTTTGCAGTTTTTTAACTGTATGACCTTGAATGTATTACTGCCTCTGCATTTGTTTCTCTACCCATGGAATGTGGGATGGTAACGTTTGTAGGGTTATTGTAAGGATTAAAAGCAATGTAAGTAAAATGCTGGGTACTGTACCCAGCTCATTATAAGAAGCACACAGTTGTCAATAAAAGTGCTTTTATAGGATTTCCAGAATGTCTTTTGTTATTATTCAGTGACTCAAAAAACAGTATAGTGAAATGGTTAATAATAGCGTGAACTTCAGAGTCTGTATTTAAATCTCAGCTTTATCACTAACCAGCAATTTAACATTGGGCAAGTTAACCTTTTTCTGCCTGTTTATTTACCTGCAAAGTAAGAAATGTACAAGTGAATGTTTAAATTTTGTTTTTAAATTTAATACAGTAAAAGACATTGCTGAGAATGATAGGATGTGTTTGAAGCAAAGGAGAGTATTTGGGGGTTAATGGCAATGTGTTTTCTTGTAATATATTTTTTACTTAAACATTTACCGTATTTTATAATCATCATTTATTGATCAAATGTTTTCAGCAGTTTCTGTCAAATAAAAATATTATGGTGTGTCCTCATCCATCTTATTTGCAGGGTCTAGTACCATGCAACTTCCAGTTCTTCCCCAAATCAAAGTGACCATGACAGGTAAACATTTTAATTAAGTCAGGGCATTGAGGCAGCCATGGCAGTACAACTAAAAACATGCAAGAAAGAGGACCTTCAAACCCGCTTCAGGAAAGTGGCAAGAATGATGGGATGATCAAAGTGATCAAGAGTACTTTGAGGGAGATTAATGGCAATGTGTCTATTACTGTAGTAAATTTTTAAAATTTGAACATTCACCATATTTTTTAATCACATTTTTTAGTCCTGTCTTTGAGTACCTATTCTGCCAAGCGTTCAGGTGCTGTGTAGTGTGTGTGTCTAGCTAGATACAGTGATATGTGAAGTACTTCTAAAGGGCCTAGGCTTATCTGAAATACTTAATGGGTGGTTCAGCCTTGATCTCTTTCTCAAAAAGAGAATATTTTTTGATCTCTTAATATGAAATATTTACATGTTATTTAATACTTGGTTGTTTCGCTAACGTGTAAGAGGCACAAGAAGATGAACTATCCCTTATTTTCCAAATGCACCTGGATTCATTCTGATCTTCTGCTGTCCTTTTTCCAGTGTCACTGCAAAGATAAAAGCCATTGAAGCAAAGCTGAAAATGATGGCAGAAAATCCTGATGCAGAATACCCAGCAGCACCTGTTTATTCCTACTTCAAACCACCAGATAAAAAAAGGACTACCCCTTATTCTAGAACAGCATGGAAATCTCGAAGATGATGGTTGTGAATTACTGTAACAGCAAAAGCAAATTGATCTCTACACCTGACCTCTTCTGCCTTTGTACTTTGTAGATGTGAATGGTACTATCCAACAGAGCACAATCACATGTTAGTTTGGTAACATAACATTTTTGGATGTTCTTATGAATGTGTCTTCTCTGAACTATGTGTGGAATTGAGCAACATCCAGAATAAATAGAATTGTGTCCAAAATTGTGATTTGAACACTGAGTTGCTCTAGTTGGCTGGTCTGTATGAATTTGTAATTCCAGAAACTTTATATAATGTGCCAGAGAGAAAAGCAAATGTACAAAATGTTATTATTTAAATCAGAAAGCTAAATTGATGGATGTCTATTTAAAAAAAAGTACAGCATTTTTCTTGCACATGTCTTTACAACATAAAGAAAAAGAGACAGAGAGGGAAGTGAGAGACAGATTTTTAATCGTGTTTAGAACTGCTTTTGGAGAATTTATTACGGAACTCCCTCCAACTGGACTAAAAAATAGAGTTCTTGGCAAAAGAGAGCTGATCCTTTGAGCAAATGTAGTAATCTGCTTAAGAATTATGCTTATAGTTTCAGAATCCCAAAAGAAAACATGGTGTATATCTTAAACTCATTTGTGTCGACAAACTATAGAATCAAGTTTAGTATTTTACACCATAACAGAAGTTCTGTTTGGCAATTTAACTTTTATTCTGTAGTGATCGTTTTTAATGATCTAAATACAATCCTAAAGTATCTAAACACAATCCTGCCTTCTATAATAACCAGATGTTGTCATTAACACAAGACTTTTAAAATTGCATTTACTGCATGAGATTGTTTTTATAGCATGAGATTGTTCTATTTGGAATTGTATAAATGATCAATCTAAAAAATAGCAAAATTTCTTTGAAAACGTAAATACTCCTACATTGGTCACTATCGAGCATATTTACTTTATAGTCATCATGTGAGGATTTGGTAGAAAAAGTTGATTGGTCTTGTGCAGGATGAGAAGGGGATATGTACGAGGAACAGAAAGTCAGTGGAGCAGGCACTTCCCTGGCACCAAGGTTGTAATCACCTCACTTTATGTAGTTAGGTGGGGGCGAACCTTTCAGTGTTCAGTGATGAAAAGGCAGGTGCAGCACGTGTACCATAGGTTCGCCACCACTGATGCGGTTTTAAAAGACTGCATGCCTTGCAAATGATCCCTCATTCATAGGACATTCTTCTCCCTAGATATTTTTGGCATTATGAACATTCTAAATACAATAGTAGAGAGCAATACATAAACTGACATTTGGGGATGTGTTACTTCAACACAGTTTGGGTCATTTCAGTGCTGGCCTTGATAGACTCATTGGGCAGCACCGTTGCTGCTTTAGTAGGCAGATCGCTTTGTTACTTACTTCAGGTGCCACCCACGGTGATTAGAAGTTACCACTGTCGTTTCTAGCAAGAGGAGGCTTTCATTATAGGGATTTAAGTCTTCCTGTGAGCATAGATGAAGTTAAAACACTTGAATCAAAATTTGAGCATAGTGATGTTTTAGAATCCACAGAACTGGTTCAGAGACGTTCTTACCACTTTTCTGAAGGTCAGTCTTTTTAGCTGTCCAAATACTCTCTGCTTTTCTTAGCTGTGTCTGTCTACGATGCAAGTAACTCTCCTGTGTGTGGGGTAGTTGAGGGAGGTGGGAGTGCTGTCTCCCATTTCTCCAGTGAGTTTGGAGTGTAGAATTCACCATTGTATCCTTAAGTCCTCAAAGGATTTTGGTGGAGTAGAATTCAATGCAAATAGCCTTCTATTTTTAATAGGAACTTAGAAAACACTTAGGACTATATAGAGTTGTTTCCTTAGAAACTAGAAGTATTTATTTGTATTTAAAGCAATTTTTTTTTATTTGTACCGATTCTTATCCTCCGTATGAATAAATGCAAGATGGTGTGTGCGTGTAAGTGCATGGTTGTATCTTCTCATCCATTTATTGGTGTAAAGACTGCAGCTTTCTGGTAGATGTTTCTCTAAGGTCTCAGGCTGGTGGGTCCAGGCGGGGCATTGCCTCTAAGTGCCTTCTTGGCAGCCAGATCAGATACAGTCCACCTGAAAGGGAATTCTCTTTTTTTTGTTTTTTTGTTTTTCTCCGGTACCGGGAACCGAACTCACGACCTTGCGCTTGCCAGGCAGGTGCTTTTGCCGCTGAGCTAAATCCCCAGCGCCTGAAAGGGAATTCTCTTGACCCTTTCTCCTGCTTACCTCTGGGAGAGATGGAAAAAAGGACTAGTTCTCTTTGCAAATGTAACAGTTTGAAAAAAAAGTAGAAGTGTCTCTGCAAGTCCCACACCATATTTAGTCTCCAAGTGGAAGTTTCAAAAGAATAAGTGTGTGTATCATAAACATACTAAAAGCAGTCTGATGAAAGGCTTGTGAAATAGAAGTGTTAACTTGGTCCACTATTAAGAGATTACAGTATCTGTAAGTAAAGTTATTTGGTTTACTGTTGCTAAAGTCTTAATCATTTTGATTTCTACAAGCACGAAGGATTGAAGGCAGTGATCAAGAGAGGAGTACAAACTATCTTAATCTCAGCTCTTGTCTTATCAAATGTGACCCAAACCAGATGGATTTCTGTGGTTGGCATCTCAGCTTTAGGGAAGAGGATCACGTAAGGATAGATTTCTTAAATATCATGAGTCAGTAGCCCCAGTTTTATGAAACTGAGTTTTCTACAGCCCTGTCCCTTGTTTAAGATAATGCAGTAATTTCCAAGTCAGTAAATATATCTAACTTTTATACTATTTTGGAGGTTTATACTGGAGTATCAATTCTTGCCCTATAAGTGTTAAACATTTCCTTTGTGCAGTCACTGTATTTCTAAAATACGATCTGATTCCAACAACGTACCCTTAACTTTGTTTCCTGCTCCTGTCCAGTCCTGAACAGCTACTGTCAATTTTACCTTCAGATTACACCTTGAGTCCAACTACTGTCCACATCCAACACCCTCAGTTTTGTGCAAGCCACCATCATCCTTTACATGGACTATTACAGTACCTTCTTAATTATGTGCCTGCCTCTACCATTTCTCCCATAGAGTCAGTTTTCCACATAGAAGCTAGAGCAATTCTTTTCAAATGTCGTGGTACGTGTCTGGTCCCAGCTACTCTAGGAGCTGAGGGAGGAAAATCCCCTGACCCCAGAATTTTGTGGCCATCCTAAGTAACATCAAGACCTATATTAAAAAAAAAAACAAAAAACAAAAAACAAAAACTGGTTGTGGTGGCACATGTCCTTAATGCCAACTATTAAGAAAGGCTGGGGCAGAAGGATCAAATGTTTGGTGACCAGCCCAAGCAACTTAGCAAGATTCTGTCTCAAAATAAGAGTTCTTGATATAGCTTAGCACTCCCTGGATTCAATCCCTAGTACCACCAAAAGAAAAAAAAAAAAAATTAAAAATCTCACTTTCTTAATGACTTTGCATTACACCTATAATTAAAGACCTACAAGACCCTTACTGATCACCTACCTGATGCCATAACCTTCTCTCGTGGTGCACTGTGCTCTGGCCTCACTGGCCTCCTTCCTGTTCCTGGAACCAAGGGAGTATCTACCTCAAGACCTTCACCTTGGCCAGAATGCTCTTCGGCCACAGAGCCCACTTCTTCAATTCACGTTTCAAATGTTAGTGGTTAAGATGTACCTACCCTCCCTTTTGAAATTATAGTTCTGTCACTTCACAATCCTTGCCTCTTGGGATTCTAAATAGAATTTATCACTACCGGACATTACATATAAACTGATTTTTGTCTATTTTCATTAGAATGTAAATTGAATATAAGTGGTAACTATGTCATTGCTGTATCAGAATTTAAAACACTGCCAGATATGTAGTACATACTCCATAAATACTTGCAGGGTGAAATATCAGAATCCTAGTGTTTGGGAGTTTAAGGGTCTTGTGAGACCATCCCACGTAGCCCCTCATTGTGCAGATGGAAAAAATGGAAACCCAGGGAGACAAAATGGTTTGGCCAGGACTGTGTTTTTAATGGGTGCTATGGTTTGAGTGTGTCCCTCAATGGTTCATGTACTGAAGTTTAATCCCCATTGTGAAGTATTAAGAGGATGAGGATAGAAACCTAAACATTGATGTTTACTGGTAGGGCCTTTAGAAGGGGATTAGAATTAGATAAAATCATCAGGGTGGAATCCCCGTGATTTATACTGGTGGCTTTGTAGAAGAGAAAGAGAGGCCAGAGGGCACATACACATATTCATTACCTGTTGATGGCTTTGTAATGCCTCAGAACTCTGCCAGCAAAGACGCCATCACTTATGCAGCCCTCAATTTTGGATGAGCCTCCAAAACTATGAGCCACAATAAACCTCTTCTTTTTCTTTTACTATTTTAAAGAGTAAAAGAAGGATAACAGTAATAGGGGGACTTATCAAATTACAGACAAAGTGGTAGGAAATTCTCAATGGTGGTGGTTTTACATATTGTTATCTACAAGATAGTTAAAACCTCTTCTTTATCAATAGCCTTCTTCAGGCATTTTGTTATAGTATCAAAGAACTAACATAATGAAAGAATTTTAGGTAGAAGCCAAGCCTATAAACACCTATGCAGTGTACAATTGCTTTGGCAGACTGACCAGTACTATCTCTTTTTCTACAGTCTACAAGCAAAGAATGCTTTTTACATTTGTAAGTGGTCCCAGAAAAAAAGTCAAAAGAGTATTTTGTGACTTGAAAATAATATGAAATTCAAATTTCAATGTCCATAAATTAGGAAGTTTTATTAGAACAAAGGCCCATGCATTTACATGTCTACCATTGTTTGCTCAGTATAATAACATATTTGAGTAGTTACATAAAAACTGTATAGCTCACAAAACCTAAAATACATACTATCTGTCTCTACAAAGTTTGACAAGCCCTGCTCTGAAGTATTCCATTACTGGAAATGTCTTTTTTAAGTCTTTGTGGTATCAAAACTTCTAGTATTACTGAAAAGAATAAAAGCAACAGAGAGGTGGCAGAATGATATATGAATATAGTTTCTTATTCATGTCTCTGACCCCTTTACATCTTTTGGGATAGGAAGTTGGCTATCCTAGCCTAGTAGCTTCACTACTGCAATACATTGTAAATCCCTTCATCGTCTCTTATGGTTTAAACCAAAAATGTCCCCCAAAAAGTTCATGTGTTCAGGGGTGGATCTTTTGATATATTTTTTTCTTTTTTTTGTCTTTTTGAGAGAGGGTCTCGCTATGCAGTTCAGGCTGGCCTTGAACTCACTTTGTAGCCCAGGCTGGTCTCAAACTTGCAATGATCCTCCTGCCTCAGCCTCCTGAGTGCTGGGATTATAGGCGTGCACCACCACGCCCAGCTCAGAGGTGGAGCTTTTTTGAAAGGTGATTAGATCCTGAGGATGCTAGCTCGGGTGGATTTACCCACTGAGAAGTTCATAGCTGAATGGGCTGTTAGGAGGCAGGGCCCAGTTGGAAGAAGTAGGTCACTGAGGGTATAACTGGAAGGGTGCATCTTGCTCTGCCTCTTTCCCTGTCTTTCTCTTTGCTGCCCTGCTGCCCCTCCTTAGCCTCAGAAACAATGGAGCCAGCAGAAGACTATGGGCTGAAAATGAGCCAAAATAAATCTTTCCTCTCTAAAGTTGTTTTTCACAGGTATTTTGTCACAACCATGGGGACCTGATTAACATATTGTTCATGCAAGGAATCCAGACCCATAAGAACTTTGGCATCTGATATGCCCAAATTAGACTGCTAGCCCCAGTATGTGAGCAATCAGTCAGGGTTCTTTCAGTCCATGTCCAACTGCCTTATGACAGAAGTTTTATTGGCTCTTGTAACTGAAAAGTCCAGGTGTTCCAATGACATGGCCAGGGCTCTCGCTGTCTTGATTGTGTTTTCCTCTGGGTTGGTTTCACTCTCAGGCAGGCTCTCCTTCGTAGTCTCTGGAGAGAGATTTGAATCCCAGATTTTAAAAAAACCAAAAACAAACTATAAGAATCTGCCCCAGGACATGGGTCTATATCTTCTTTCCTCTGCATTCAATCTTGCTTGGCTAGGATTCCTGATTATACAGAATGGCATTTCATTTTGCATGCGCCCTGTGACCTTCCTAATCTAAAAAATAATTTAAAATTTAGCCTTCCTATCCTGCAAACAGACCTCTCCCATTTGAGTTTTCTTGTGGGTGATCTCAGAAGAAGGAAATTTCTCCAGCCTTCAGACACAGACTGGGCATCTGTCATGTGCCAGGCATGGAGGGTGTAAAGATTAGCACAGTCTCCCCACACTGGCATGTGCCATGATAAAGGAAAGACGCAGGAGCTCTAGGGGACCAGAAGACAGGCACCTAATCCCGCTGGGGACAGCAGGTAAGGGTACAGATGATTTCTCAGAGGAAGTAACATCTGCATTGAGCACTGAAAGATGTTAAAACATAAGCCAGGTCCAGGATTTAAGATGAACACTGGAGGAAGAACACAATCCTAAAGAAAGTTTGAGATTGAATTATAGAAGGAATTGCAACAGTTCTAAAACCTGTACCATAGGGTAAGCTGGGTTTACAAGGCATTCTGCAGTATGCATTTCCCTAGCCAGCATAATGGGTTGAACATGACAGCATCTCCAAGACCCTCATCTTTGTACAAGACGTTCCTTGTACCTAGAAAGTCTTTTCTATCTACTCCTTCCAACCACTGTTTTCACAGATAGCCTCCTGCTTATCCTCAAGGATTAACTCGAGACAGTTACTACCTCTCTACTCCTTAAATGCCCACTTCTGTCTCAGCATTTGTCACTCTACAGTCCCCTTTAGTATTTAAAAAATGATTCTGACTGGCAATAAGATGAGCCTCAGGGGCAAGTTGCCTCCCAGAAAACAAATAAGTCAACTCCGATCTCCCTCCTAAATGGTGTAAATCCTA